AAATCTGTGATGAAAACCAATTCATGATAATGTTTAATTTAAAACTTGTATTTTTCTGATTACGACGTGTTGGATTTTTCCATCATCGTTTTATAAATAAACTTTGTTTTACAAGAAAAAATTTGCGACAAATGTTTTTATATAACTTGGAATACCCTAAGAATGATATTTAAAATAAACTTAACGAAATGAATACAATCGATAGGTATTTATCGAAAAGGTGAAATTGATTTTGATTCTTTTTATACTAGTGTTAATGATACAAAATTTTTTGACATATGTTATTTTTATATTGAATTAAAAAAAATATATGAAAAAGGTAATATACTGTACAAAAAATTATGAAGCCCTAGCTGGTTATTGAAAATTCACGCAATGTTTATACAAATCAACGGTTAATTATTAAAAGCATATTTATTGTTGTATTCACATAATTAGTGTACAAAGTTCAAATGACCTATTGATATATAATGTCTTAATCATTTTTCAGAATACATTTTAACATACCTTAATTATCATTGAATTAAAAAAAATATATGAAAAAGGTAATATACTGTACAAAAAATTATGAAGCCCTAGCTGGTTATTGAAAACTCACGCAATTTTTATACAAATCAACGGTAAATTATTATAATCATATTTATTGTTGTATTCACATAATTAGTGTACAAAGATCAAATGACTTATTGATATATAATGTCTTAATCATTTTTCAAAATAAATTTTCACATACCTTAATTATCATTGACATAAAAAGAACAAAATGCATTTGATAAAATAAAATAAAGACAATTTTTTTTAAAGCGCATTTTAGAAAATTTCGCAATAACTTTTCAATTATAAGTTTTAAAAAGTTCCGTGTAATTTACATAACCCCGAATCCAAAAGTAAATGTCTTAATCATTTTTCAAAATAAATTTTCACATACCTTACTTATCATTGACATTAAATGAACAAAATGCATTTGATAAAATAAAATAAAGACCTTAAAAATAGTCATTTGTTGAAGGTATGATGAAAATTATTTAAAATTTGGTTTTTGTGCTTTTAGTATGGGAGATCATAACAATATGGTTCAACTACAATGTGTAATCTGTGGAGAATCGCTCGCAAATGAAAGTTTAAAACCATCAAAATTAAAAAGGCCTTTAGATACAGAACATCCAGATTTAAAAGAAAAATTGATAGAGTATTTCGAATTATTAAAAACTAACTTTCAAAAAAATCTTAAAAATCCTAATATAATATTCATCAGTTTCGCGCTTGACTTTAAAAGCATCTTATTTTATCACTCATGGACAAAACTTTACCACAGGAGAATGCATACTAGAATCATGTAGATACTAATTATAAACCTGTCAATAACGATCACCCAGAGAAAAGAGGCACAGTCAAACGTCAAAAGTTCAGTTTTCTGAAAATAATTTTATCAATAAATATTATTTTACATAAGCGATTGCAACATTATTAAATGTCAATAAAAAATAAACACGATTTTTTGTTAATCAAAGAAATCGTTTAAATATACCACATTGTTCCACTGAGGCTGAAGAATATTATATGAGAACTATTTTTATCCTTCACTTAGGTGATTTGATATCATCTTTAAACGATCGTTTTATGCCTCAAAAAGAAACTATTATTTCTTTACAGTATATTTTACATTTTCTTTGTATAAATAAATTGTTTTATTTATACTTGAAGCAGTTAATTTGTACATAGATAATTTGCAGGTTTTAAAGATTCAATTGAGGTTAAGTACGACATATGGATTTCTAAATGAACCTCAATAAAATCATCATCAAGACCTTCTACTTCCACAGTCGTTTTAATTTTATGTGAAACATTGTATCCTAATCACTACTAACTACTGAAAATATTTGCCATACTTCCCGTGTCAACTGCATCTGCTGAACGCAGTATTTCAACAACACGAAGGTTAAAAATATATTTATTAAACTCAATTTCGGAGAATTGTCTTGTTAGTATGACATTATTAAATATGCATACAAATATTTTTATTACAAATGATTATGGTTTTAGACAAGTTTGTCAATAGTAGACGAGCCAGGCGGTTATAACTTATTATTTAGTATAGATATTTAGTACCTAATAGACAATGTGCTAAATATTATTTTACGATAAATTCAATATAACTTATTTTATTTGACTAAATGATGATGTTTATACACTTTGATCAGCCCCCCCAAAAAAAAAAAAAATAAAATTCTAAATACACGCCTGTTATGAATTATAATCAACTAGTTAAGTTAGAAGATAACTTTAAAATTAACATTCATTTTCTAACTAGTTTATACCCAATTTCGGTACTCATACCCAATTAAAGATATTGATTTGAATTTTGTAATTTAATAATTCAGATTTCCGGTGGGTAGGTTGATGGTATTAAAATCTTGTCTTTATCAAAGAAAATTATTTCGATAATAATAATCGTTATTTATTATTTAGATAACCAATTTAAAGTTTTCATTTTAGATTTTGTAGAACAGAGTAAGGAATGGATTGGAAGTCATGTTAAAATATTATGGCTTATGTGTATAATTGTGTTACTTTTTTTTTCTTATAATAGGTGCACAAAATAGTTCGGGTCACCCGCTAACTAACATCTCAAAACCAAAATTATTAATTAATGAAATTTGTATATAGTTGTCATTGGTCAAGAGCGACTACTTTACCAAATATCACTCAGAATCCTTTTTGTTTACAAATTGTAAGAACTTATCGTTGTTTTCAGTATGTTTATTAGTTTTCACTAATATTTTTTATTAAATAAAATATTAGTTTTTTTTTAATAGGTTGATGATTTAATTAATTTGTTTTTTATTGAGTATTTTTGTTACTTAATACATCAATTCAAAAAGTAAACATTTAAATGAAAATGCAAAGGAAACATAATATATTATAGGAATAATCACACATTATTAGATTACCTATGTTTATAATAATAAATTAAATAATTTGTATGGTACAAAATTGTTGATTATCATTAGGTAATCGCCTGATTTGAATATTATATAATATTAGCTACATTACAATTTATATAAATATATTATGTTTACTTTATACAATAATATATTAAGGCAATTTCAAACAATTTTTTATTAACAATACAATTTATCAAAAGCTTATTTTACATTTTATACACGTTATTTATCTTCAGATATAATAATATTGATTACATGACTTAGTCTTCCAAAAGTATATCTTTTATTTGTGGCAATGTGTTTTAAGAAAAAATACCAAATTGCATAATCTATTAAAAATTATTTCGACTTTTTTTAAAGATAACATTTAAAGGAATATAAGTTCGAGATCAAAAGAAAAATATATCTACATCTAAACACAACTTTTGGCAAAAACCTAATGAAATACCATAAAAAAGTTGCAAGAACTAATGATATAAATTCCACACAAATATAGTAAATAAACATTTAACATTTTTAAAGACTTGGTTCTCCTGAAACAAAATAAATCAAAATACATCAAAGTTATATTTATGTTAAAATGAACTAATATAACGAAACTAATGAAATTGAATGATAAATGTACAGAATACCACAAATAATTATTATTAAATAATGCTCTCACCCAGTCTGTTTATTAGCTCTTGGGTCACATTGGGTAATAAGAAGATTTTTGATTTGTACTTCATTAATACATTTTAATTAATATAATTTTAGTATCTGTGTGGTGTTTCTCCAAGCCATGAATCTGGACTTGGTGGGAAATCTGCAAAACCATGTGTGCTACTGTTGTCACTTAATTCTGAGGGTGCAGAATGGGCAGGACCTAGTTAAAAAAACATTTTAGGCATCAATTAATGATAATAACCTTAATACAAGTTTGTTGTTATTATTATTATTATTATTTTTTTTTTTAATTGTGTACCTATAATGAATAACCAAATAATTATGAATTATATTCCTATTTCTGTATAAACAGACAATGTATGCCTAGTACTAGCAATCATTGCCATAGTTATTTTTAAAAATGTAATTCATTGAAATTGAATTTATTTATTTATCGATAGATACCTATTACAAAAAAATTGTTTGCTGAAATTTGGCATTTATAAATCGAATCTATGTAACTGTATCCATTGTTGATACAAATAACAAATTTTATACTCAACCAATTAAAAAATAAATATTAAAATAAAAAATAAAAGTTTTCTTTTCAAATTGATTATACTGAAAAATAACTATCATACTGGTAATTAATTTATATTAAAAAAAAAATTAAGGTAATTCAAGTTGTTTAGTCATTAATTGTATTTATTAAAACCTAGTTGAACATTAAAATAAAAAATAAAAGACTAAAAATATGTTCATAACCTTATTAAGGACTAAAGTTTAATATTATTTTTTACCAATCAATTGTGAACACAATTATTTAAGTAAGGAAAATTCGAAAAAGACTCAAATAGTGATTATCAACAAATAAATTCAACACAGATCAAATTAAGCAGATTTAATAATGCGATAATATCAATGGTTATGCAATGAGTGGTGTACGTACGTCGTGCATACACCATAAAAAGAGAAAATAAATAACCTTAGGTGCCACTTTATATTATAACACAAAACAGTAATTTATTTTAATGGGATTTTAACTATTAGAGTTTTAAAAGTTGTTATTATTCGATTTACTTTCTATTGTTTATCTGAAGACATGGGGCTAGCTGTAGACGTGTAGTTGACTTTATACACTAAATAGATATGTGGTTTGTTTAAATAACCGCTTTAAATTATGTAGGTGGATTTAAGTAAGACTTTACAAACACTGGAAAAACCGAATGGATACTAAATTCTGTCATTTTTAATCGATCGATGTTTAATTCACTTAATTATGACAAATAAAAATAAATTATTATTCTTACCAAACTTCTTCCTCGAAGTCAGCATTTATAATAATTGATTAAAAATGACCGGTTTCAACGAATTCTGTTTATCTATCTATTTATCTATATATTCTATCTATTCAACAATTATTGTTGAATAACATTTTTGTTCAAGTCTACATGTACGAGTATTGTACAATTGTATTATTATAATTCATTATAGGTGCATACTATAGTATTTTTTAATGAAACAATGCCATAAAATGGATTCAGTATTTGTTTATGAATTCATATATTCAACATTTAAGGATTAGTGTTATGTGTGATAATTTGTCTAACTATCTAGATTTTTAAGGTTTAGTGAATTTTTCAAGTAATTTAAGATCGTTTACATTTTTAAAGCTTTAAATCACTTGAAAGGCCTCCCCTGAACATTATATTCCGATGCGTTCCCCTATTTATGCTAATGATGTATATATGCATACTAGTGATGGGAATCTGAAAATGTAGGTTTTTCAATAAAACGCTAATTTATCCACTTGAAAATCGTATAAATATTAAATATTATTATAATATAAAGCTGTGTACCTAAGGATAAAAATTCCAAAAAATAAATCTTAACTTTAACTATAAAATGCTTTCGGATTTCGGATTCCGGATTTTCGGATTTCAACAAATCCGAAATCTTAAAGCAGTTTAATTTTTTGGTGTTGTGTTTTATTTTTACATTATCATAAAAATATTTTACTTAGGTACACAGATTTACACTGCAAAAATATTTAATATTTATATGGTTTTTAAGGGGCTTAAATTGCTGTTTTTTGTGAAAATCCGGATTTTCGGATTCCCATCACTAATGTATACTAACTATGAGTGCACCAATCAACCATATTGTGTGTAATAACCAAAAATACCATCATAATATAATAAATTGTCTTATAATAATTTAACTAAACAGATAATCCTATACTAGTCCTATCTTATCTTTGTCTATATTTTTCAAATTATGTTGATTTATTTCATATTTATACAGAAAAAAATATAATTTAATATCTATACAGCGAACTTGCCTACTGTGATATAACCATTATCTGCTGTAAATGCAGTAACATGTTGAGTGGGTGATGACATGTATTGATGTGATGATGGTGAAGAGTTTCCAGGCAAAAATTTATGGTGATGACTTCCTGGTAAAGGAGAACTGTGTTCTTGATCTATAGTTAACGTGCTTGTCCCATAGCTGTCATTGCTTTCTAAATCTAAATAAAATAACATAATTTATTATTGAAATACTATGCTAAATATTAGAATATACAAATGTTTAAGTTACCATGTGAATGACTAAAATTTGAATCCAGATCAACCTTAAGATCATCTTTGTCGTTACGAGGTGATATTGAACCTTTCATTGTTCTAAAATATTGACTCCAGCGTGATCTCCCGGCGTCTTTTTTAAGTCTTTTTTCTTTTGCACGTCTAAAGTTCAGTTAAAATACAATATTTTAAAATATCTTATCTTTTGTTTCTTATTGTAGAAAAGTAAAAAGTATATGTATGGTCCACGATTAAAGATATTATAATCAAATCTTTATGGGTCGTTAGAAATTCTGTCTACAGTTGGTACACTGGTTAGTGCATCGTAGTTGTAGATAGTGGTCTATTTACAATCGTTTAAGGAATACTAATTCGTCATCAACGATATACCGATAAAACAAAACTAAAGATAAGTATATTATATAATATCTATTAGGTATAATTATTATAACGTAGACAGACAAACTATTATATAAACTTTTCAATGAACTATTTAAAATAAAGATAGATATTATTAAAGTAATTTTTCTTAACATTTTTCAGGTAATTGATTTTAAAACTAAACAATTAAACAAAATACTAACTACTCATATCTTTAATCGTAGTACAGTCCATTAGTAATATTTTTATAAAAAAAAAATAAAAAGTCCGATATTTTTTAATTTGCTGATAATATTGTCAATTTAACTACCGTAACCCTATAACTAATTACTATCAGTAAAATAATTTGCATACACAGATTTTTAAATTGTATAAATATTCAAATAGGTACAATTAAATCTTCTAACGGAATCGCTCGGTATACCAACTGAGTTTTCCGTTATGGAGTTTTCATTACAGGGAGACTAAAATATACGGGTATAAGTTATGCAAAACTACTGTTGTTTTCCGTTTTAAGGAGATTTCCGCCTTATAGAGGGCCCGTTATAAGGAGGTTTTACTGTATATACCTGTGTACCAATCTATTCAAATAGTTTTGTATGATTAACTATTAAATTATTAATATGTTCTAGTGGACAAGTAAAAATTAAAATTCGATATCTAAAGTACGTGATCAAGAATTTATCATTTTTTGTCTAAATCGGTTGGGCGAATCACACGTAAAATATTATCAATTATGCCCATAATAAATAAATTGGATTATTAATTATAGGTAGGTTTTATTCAATAACAAATTAAGTTTTAATTTAAACTTCTGTTCCAAACTCAGAAAAATAATGTCTAACACACAGTAAAAATAATTGATAATTTATACGTTTTATTGTTTCTATACCAATTGGCTATTGGTTACCAATTCAAAAACTGACTTACACCATAGAACTAAATCTGTGATTTATTTGTTTGGTTATTCTTTATTAAATTACTCTAATGCAGCCAAATAACGGACGTGCATTGTTTCCACCACAAACTTGATTTCCGTTCCCACTAAATATCGACCCCACTAATGCATCTCAAAAATAACCATTTGAGTTGAATATACATAACCTCCATTTTCAAGTCAATTAAAAAGAAGTTCATCCAGAAATAATTAGAACCTAAAATACCTAATAACTTATTTTACTGAAAAATTAAAAATACTTGTTGTTTTAGAAGTCATGAAATATAGTGGTATATTTGTATAGAGGGAGTGGTCAAGGTAAGTAACTCTTTACCAAAAGTGTAAATGCAGTATCAATGAATTCATTTTATACAAATTACTACAGAAGCTAACTATAATCTATCAATTATTATTGTAGGTGAATATGATTAGTTCGGAACGTAACGAGACATCTATTGGTTTTACTATGATATGTGTGTATTTTTTTATTTTATTTTTTCTGTCTAAACAACTTTTCTACCAGAAAACCCCGTTAGTTGGAGTGATACAGCATATGTAGGTATAACGTCCTATTAGCACGATGTTTTTTACCACAAATATTACTCCAATAGATAAATGACTAGAGGCCTTTTTTATTGAAATTTTCATCTAGTTCATAATTAAGTTATTCGTTTTTCGATTTTCTTTGTAGTTGTATTAATAATTAGAAAAACTATAAAATGAAAAGTGACATATTTATGGAGTTACAATTTCATTATTTTACATTTTTACAGCTTATATTTTTCTACCAAAAATATTGCTCCAATATCAAGATATGTTTTATGTTTAATTTTTAATCTAGTTTAGGATCGAGAAAGTTACTAGTTGATTTTCTATGTGTTTTTTTTTTTTTAATAATTGAGCAAACCTGAAAAATATCTAGAAAGAACGTGAACATTTATGAAAATAACTCTTATATTTTTTTAAATTTTGTTTTTTAATGTTATTTAATTTAAAACTTTCCTACACTTATTATGTTAGCAGTAAACTTATATTTACTTTTTCTAGACGTGGTAAACCTTTCAGAACATTTGAGCAATTTTTGAGCTACCTATTTATAAACATTTTAATTTTAAGAGTTTTTTACGTAATTATTATTTGGTAGTTTTCTTTAGAAGGTAATCTTGTAGATAATGTAGATTGATGTTTATACTTAACAAAAGTGCTTACAAATTTATTAGGATGTTCATTATAATTCGTACATAGTGGTGAAAAAAAAAATTTGTTTAATGTAAAATGTTTGTTTTTAAGAGTTTTAGAATCAAATTTTGACAATAACGTAAATGTTATGATCTTTCAAAATATGTATTACCAAACTTTGATGCGAATCGTTATTCATTATTAATGGGTCATCGTTTTCACAGGTATAAATTAAATATTACTTTATGTATCCCATCTTCCTTACTACCAACTTTTAACAGTGGCCGCACCCGTCCCCAATATCAGCTCTTTTTTTTTTTTTCATCACAAACTATAACTGATAATGAAATTCTGTTAAATTTTCAAGAATTTCTGTTAGGTCTGACAATTGAATCCACAGTACTTATTAAAGAAAAATTACGTAAAAATAAAACTAGAATATATAAAATGTCTATAAATAGCTCGAAAATTCTTCAAATTTTCTGAAAGTTAGTTTAAGTTTTCTATCAACATTTCGTGTTATTACGAATATTTTAACCTGAATTACAACAAAAAACAAAATGTAAAATAATAAATTAATTATATTCATAAAAGTATCCGTGATTTCACCTTTTTTTCGGTTATGCTCAATTATTAATAAAACTATAGAGAAAATCAAAAATTGAATAAATTACACATGTATTAGATTAAAAATGCAATAAAAATGGTCTCTAGTCATTTATATATTGGAACAATATGGCAGAAAACATAAGCCGTATATATTTTAAATAATAAAATCGCTGTAATTTGAAAAAATCGTATAATTCTTCTTTTTTGGTTTTTTCCAATTATTATGAAAAATACTTTAATTATTAAAAAACGACTTTACCCATCAGTGGCTATGTATCAAAAGGAACAAAATCGATGAATTGTCATTTTTCGATTTGAGTAATATTTCTGGTAGAAAATATAATTAGAACATATTTAAATAAATAAACCGGACGCTACGTTGCCGTACAAATTAATCAATTTTAGTTTGTTGGTTTTTCATAATTGTTTGGAAAACTGATTTAGATATCAAAAAATGATTTACTCTATCAATGGCGAGATATTATAAAGAACAAAGTAGATCTCTCCTTAGGTCACCAACTAGACAAAATTATTTTTTAGAAAAAGTGCTAAAGTCTATATTTCAGAGTAAATTTTAAATTTTTTAAACATTTTATTAATTTTTCGAGTTTTTTACGTAATTTTTATCCATTCTGTGGATAATATTGTTAGACCAAAAACAAAAATTTTTTTAGAGGAGTTTCATAATAAGTTATATTTAGTGGTCAACAAAAAAATATTGAGTTCGATATACTATTTTTTATTTTATATAAGAATTTTAATATCAAATTTTGAAGATTCGTAAATATTACGACTTTCCAAAAAATTTATAAGTTATACAATATCCCGTTATTTAGACGAACTAAGAAAGGGTTGCCATTTGTCTCATTTTTAGAAGGGATTCGGATAGTTTCTACATGAAAATAGCAAGTAAGTGGGTACATAAGTTCCGACACGAAAAATAATATACCCGTACGTAAGTTCCGGCATGAAAAAAAAATATCCATACGTAAATTTCTAATAAAATAGACAAATTTTTCGATGATTAAGTTATTAATTACATAGAGGATAATAGTACGTTCCTCTCAAGTTTTTGGCCTACTGATAATTCTGATAAAAGTCTTACAACAAATGCTTGTGAAAGTTTCCACTCCCAATTCAATTCAAGTTTTTATTATCATCATACTAATATATTCAAAATAATCAAAGTTTTAAAAATGTTTTATACAAATACATATATCAAAATAAGAACATCAAATTACAATGGATCTCAAAAAATATGTAAAACGACGAACAAAAACAAAATTATATCCATAACAAATATCATATTAAAAGTTTAAAAAAATAATACAATATGATTATGTGAAGTGTCTGAGCATTCGCAATAAGCCACATGGAATTTAATTATATATTAAAATGTACATTTTATACAACTCTATGCTTAACAAATTACGATAATGACTAAATTCAATTGAAAATTGAATTATTTTTCAAAAATATTATTTTAACAAAACATATAAAACACAAAACCGAACAAATTTTAACCACACCAACTTAGTTGTCAGTCCTAAATTTGAATAAAGTGGGAAGGAAATTTGTTATTTTTAATCGTTATAATTTTTATTTGTACAGGAATTTAGATGTTGTAGGTGTATTTTATTCGTGTCAGAACTTACGTACTGATTTATCAGTTTTTGTGTCGGAACTTACGTATGCACACCTATGACTGATTTTTACCTGCTATATCTCGTGTTGGAACTCATTATCGCTTTTTTAGAAAATAGTCTCTTTTTAAAATTATTATATGTATATTAATGGAAAACTGGTATATGAAAAAAATACAATATGGTATGATATTCAAAAAAGCTTAACATTCATTTTGAAGTATGATAAAAAACAAATCAACAAAGATAAGGATGAAGATAATCACTTTGTTTAGTACCTATAATCATGTATGAATAATGTATATATGTAATAATGTATCAATAATGTAATAAATAAGAAATTATTGACTAATTCAAATAAAGACAGAATAATTGTGTTTTTATTTTAAAGAAAGTTTGTTTAGTCTCTACGCAATTTCAGAAAAAGAAAATATATATTTAGCAACTACTTTTGGCAGAATATTCTAAAGTTATTTCTGGATCTAATAAAATACAAAGAATATGTTCCGTGCGTTATGGGAAAATCGCTTTATTATATCTAATTTTATTATCAAAGAAATTATGATTTTAAAAATATTCTTGTAACGGTTTTTAAGATTTTTTTTTAACCAAAGTAATTATTAACCGCAATAAATGTACAAAAAATAAAAAAATAAATAAATAAAAATATGACGCTTAACAATGCAAACAAATAGTTTGTACCTATATATATATATATATGTATATGATTCTAGGCCAATAATAACTTATATTTTTTTTTTTTACATACATTTTCCTAAAATACCTATGTATGTGTACTTATGAATCATTACAGTATATACTTTGAAATGATATGATTTTAGTAACGTTATTCACCTGTTTTGGAACCAAACTTGGACTACCCTCATGTCTAATCCAGTGTCTTGGCTTAGTTGTTCTCTAACATGTCTAGCTGGCTTTGGGCTATTGTTGTACGCCATTTTAAGGGTTTCCAACTGTTTAGCTGTAATAGTTGTTCTTGGCCGTTTATTAGGTTGATCACCATCCAGGCATCCACCTTCTAAAAAATATATATATGTATATACTTTTTTTTTTGTTTTTAATAACACATTTTTTCTTTTGCGTACAAACATCAAAATAATTATGAATTATATTGTAATGCAGATTTAAATTAATTTGAAAAACAAACCTTTGGTTTTTGCTGCTTCGTAATCAGGTTTGCACACTAATTTCCGATCTTCCATTAGATAAAATTCATCTCCAGTATTTAATGTACGACCACACATGACACATGCAAAACATTGCAAATGGTAAACGAGATCTTGAGCTCTGCGGACGATTTGCGTAGGCGGAATCCCCAAATCACAACCGGCACATTTAGTCCCGTACCTTCTAGCAACACCAAAAATTAGTCTCCAACAAAGTTTTTGTCAATATTTAGCGTTTTGGATTAAATCATGACTTGGGAATTATTATTACTATGGAATAATTATTCTTTGGCTATAGTATAACTACTTAAGTCACGTTTATATATTATATTAGATCGCAAAAGTGGATGAATGCGAAATCGAAAGATAGAATTTTCGTGAATACGAACTCGGTATCAATAGTCAGCACGGTATGTCTGAATACGTATTAAATGTTCATACTTGCAATTTAATGTAAACTTAGCTAACTTAAAAGTATTGAAATTGTATGGGTATACCTATATGTATTATACAAAATTTAGTTTATTTGTTTTCTTATTTCTCCTCTGATCTTTTTAATAGAACTTTTTTTTCTACAATTTTAATTGAGATTTATCATTACTTTGTTTAATACAGGGCTGGATTGAATACAAGTATTTAGTCCAAGGCATATATTTTTTAATAGTCCGTTGTAAGATTATCTAAAAAAAATATTCATATTTTTATGTTTGATATTTAGTATGTAGAATATTAGAAATACAAAATGAATCAAATTAATTAAACAAATTACCTACCTATTTAAATTTAAATTTAATTTGAAAACATCCTTTTTCTAGCTTTTTGTAAGCCAAAATCATATCGTCTAAATATTAATTTAATATTAGATATAATAATAGAATAATATATGTTATTTATTACAAACATCTGGAATTTTAGTAGTCAAATTATGTTATAAGTGATTTTAATTTTAAGATAAACATTATAATACTACCTTTTTAAATCATTTTAATATGCCTAATTAGTTTTTAATTTTAATTTTAAGTTACTAGTGTAATAGTGTGTATAACTAGAACAAAATATACCATCATCTACGATTGCCTACCACTTGGCACGTTATTCATACGTTAATCCGGACTCTGGTTTTACGTAAAGAGAAAGATAATTCCATATGTCACAACATTTATTTTAAATGATACTGAGTACAATAATTAATCCAATAATACACTCATAGCATTCATTATTATTATATGTTTTTTTTCTATACATATACTCTAAGAAATTGTATGTCTTATATCTTGGAGAATTGAATCAGACAAATTATCATTCGCTTATAGTTAGTGTGATAAGGACATCCTCGAACATAAGTGTAAGGGCTTTAATTGGCGTCAACATTTATTTTAACTAATACTTCATCTATTTATAGAGTTGTGAATATAGATTGCAATTTGATAATCAAAATTGGGTAGTCGTTTCACCCTCAAAAATAAGGGTAATAAATTTAATGTAACATTTTAGAGCTGCTTATTTTCTGCTTATTTCTTAAATTGTTAAACAATTATTTTTAAAAAAAGTCAATGCTTTTTCAAAATATCGATTATAGCCACTTAAATGTATATTTAATATTGAATAACTCTACAGATATATTAAATTATATTTGTTTCTTCTTCATTCTTATTTAATCTGTACTCACTTAAAAAAGTCGTCTTTACAAAACAGCATTCCGTTTCTGGCAAAACACTTGTCGGCTAATGTAGCTCCACACTCGTTGCACTTTAAGCAGCGAGCGTGCCAAGTACGTTCCAGTACTTTTAAAATAAATCTATCCAAAATTAATTCTTGACAGCCACCGCACTTGGGTATACTAGCTGAAAAAATAAATAAAAACAGTGTATAACGGTAATTTTCTATATAAAGGTAAATCCATATTTCATATTATTATGCTGAAATCATTATGTGTATCCTTGAGAAAAATGTGTTTATGATATTCTATACCATACTAATACCCTACTACACTATAAATGTAAAAGTTTGTTTAGGTGTATGGATATATGTTTGTTATTACCACTTCTCGGCCAAACTATTAAACGGATTAAACTGAAACTTTACACACAGATGTAGTTCTATATCAGGAGTAATAACTAGGCTACTTACTCCTATTTTTACATTCTAAATAAGGGGGGGGTGACACAGGGTTATTAAATGTGTATCTAAAACATATCTGTAAAACGATTGACCATTGCAAAAACGATTCTGGACGGAGTTCGGTTGATAGTGTTGGTTTATCAACAATACCTATACGTGTTACATTATAGTAAAAAAATTATATATGATTACATTGATTACAAAAACTCCATTATTTGTTTTCTTTAATATTTGTTTGATATTGTATTTATTTCCCCTGTTTTACTCCATATTTTGGCAAAAACTCATGAGAAAATCAAAAAATGACCTCCCTAGATTACTATCACAGTCCTTTCAGAGAAAGTGCTATAATTGTAAATCGGAATAATATTATTCGTAGAAAAGTTTCTGCATAGATAAAAAAAAAAAATAATGAATATCATTGTAAAACCAGTACATTCCTCGCTCCACTTAGAATCTAAAATTAACATTTTTTTTTCTCACAGACAACACCGGACGGAATAGCTAATTAATTATAACATAACACTGATTTTATTTCGAACATTTATTGGTAGCAATAGTAAATAGTAATAATATATATTTTATATCATAAGAATTTTTATTTTAACCAATAAGCGGTGGGGTAATATTTAATTTGAATAGATCAAATTCTAAATCAATAAGTCAATTTTGACAATTGACCTAGACGTCTACAAATTCCTACATACGAAGATCATCCAGAAAGTAATTTTTTTTTTTATAATTATAGGTTAGAGGGAAAATCGTACAACGTAAAAGCGATAAAGTAGGTAGCATCATATTGAAGAACAAAATGTTACAAAAAGAAGTACTGCAACTGAAAATTGACTGAACAGAGACTTTTAGAAATGGAGATCACCACAGCAGTCGCCGCCACTTCAACAAGCTTTCAAAATATAAAAGATACAGACATACGTTTCGCACGATAGATGGGACACTGCTGAAGGTAAAAAGTTGGGAAGATAGAGGGGAAATTGAATGTATATTTGTACGAAATAATTAACCATTACTAACTAAAAATAATTCTGAGCGGAGTTTGGTTAATAGTGTTGCTTTGTCAACAGTTTATACTTATATAATGTCAATTATGGTAAAATAATTAAATATTTTCTTTGATAAAATTTGTGTATTTTTTTTTTTTTTTTATGTGGAGGCCAGTGTTTTAAATTTTGAAAGTTTATTATTGAGATGGTGACGATGGCTGCAGTGGTTTTCACTTCTAAATGCCATTGTTCGGTCTGTTCGGTCATTTAGATACTACTATGTTGTGATAGGAAGCAAGTTCATTATTTTATCAACTATTCCCAACCCTATTTATACCAGTGGAAAATGTACAATAACAAATGTATGTTAGTAATGACGACTTAATCCATTTTTTATTATTACAAAAAACTCCGAGAAAAGACAGAACTGCAGAATAAAATACTTTAAATTATGTCAAAATTCCATAACTTAATGTAATCCAAGTGTTCAAAGCAGACTTTACAAGAGTTAGTCTTGTAACGTCTGTTTTGACGTTTTACATGATGTGGACATTAGGAACTCAGAAAAGGTTATTATAATTCGAAAAGCTAAAGAAAACTGGAGAATACAGAGAAATTCGTCTCACGTTAATTGAGGAGTTAGTTGTCGAAATTCTGTGACCAAATTTAAATTTTTTCTAAGGTTTCTGAAGTTCCCCGTGTTGTTAAAAAGCATAATAATATGTAGGTCACTTACAGTGACGTCTGTACGCGTATACATCATATTAATAAATTACTGATGATTCATTTAATATATAGTAATAATATTTTTTAATATTCACACAAAGGAAGCTATAATTATGCAAAATTTTTTCACAATTCAGTTATACCTTATACGGATTATAATTTAATACACTTTAAAAATAATATCCATGCCAAATAGTGACTTTTAAGGTATTTCAAAGAAAAATTGGATTAGTGTGTGAAATTGGTAGAAATAAAACTACAAAATAATAAGTTGCGAGAAAGACATTTGTATTGATAACAATAATGTTTATATAATGTATGAGTATACATTATATAAATTATATAATTATAATAATTATATTATTATGTTTTTGAAGAGAACATTAACCTTATTTTTATATTTAAACAACTATATGTGTAATCATGTATACTTTTTCACATATTTTAGTTAAAAATATATTAATATTATAATATGGTTTCAAATATTAACTTACGAAACATATCAATTCAAACAATATTACGACATTATTCAAACGAGTCAAACATAATAATAATAATATAATATCATAAATTATAATGCGTACATCACTACACCACAAATATTCGTATGAAAAAATATCGTTCTTACATAAGTAAATGATTACGATCAGTGACGTGCCCAGGAATTATCAATGGGAGGGGACGTAGAAAATAAGAATCATGAATAAATCGTAAATTCGTCTTCTGTACAGTCCAAATTGACTGTGGGAATTGATAATTTAAAAGCCGGATCCTAAAAAAAAGTCAATTTCTAATCAATACTACGTCAAGTTTTTCCTCGTAACTTGGCTGAAATAAATACATTTCGACATTAGATTACTAATATTTTTTTTTATGTTTTAAGCTAAGGGAAGGGGTATAATCTAATCCCCCCTGCGCACGCCACTGGTTACGATTTATGATGTTTGAAATAACAATATTATAATATAGGCTACATAATTTACCTATACCTATATTAAAATAAATATACACTGTATACATTTCACGTACCTAAAATTTTCACAGGTATGTTGTTGAGATCCTGTTGAAAAAATCTCAAAAACGAATTCGGTAGCCAATCGGCCGTGTCTGATTCCTCATTGCTGACTACGTGCAAAGACGAATCTATCATTTTCGGCCGTCGAAACAAACGTCATACTACATGTCATCGGTGCATAATCATTATGAATATTTTTAGCTATATATTATAATATTATATGGTAAACGTGTAACCGCAATGCGCAGCGATGTGAGGACAAACAACGACAAAAATTTGAATTAACTTTTAAGAGACGAACTTTGGAGAGGGGAGAGGGTTGGATTAAAAATAAAAAAAAAACGTTATATTTGTGTTAAAATAATAATAATATAAAAACTCCAGAATAACTGAGCTGTAGAGGAACGACAACCGTCACGTATACCGGGTACGTGTTTACTGCGACCGAACACAATACTCTATGTGCACTGTGACTTGGCCCGTTGTCGAAACTCTACGGGGCAGGGTAGTGGACGCACGCGCGTGGGACTAATGCGCGCACATGTGTGTGTGTGTGTTTGTGTGTGTGTATTTGTGTGCGCACGCGAGCGCGTGCGGTGCTTTGTGCAAAAGACGGACAGAGGGACAGAGAACATTATTATCGTAACAAAGATACCGAGCGCGACCGTGTCTACGTAGGATCGATATGCCGGGGACGGGGACCACGGTACGTAGCGCAAGGTTTCGATTCGCAACCGCCGACCACACCCTGTGACGGGCCGTCGTGCAGGCACCGCCCCGCGCGCACGCACGACACGGTCCGCGGCGACGTGACAACCCTCCGCCGCCGCGGCAATACGGTAAACGGCCGCCACCGCCTACAGTGCCATCCTGCACGTACGCGCCAACCGACAGCCGCGCGTGTTGTGTATTTTATTATATATCATTATAGTATTATATATAAGCACGCGCGCGCGTACGAGGCGACGTACCCGGCCCATTTTCCCTCCGGTCGGAGCACACAGCCGCCGTCTCGTACACGACACACACACGCTAACTCGTTCCGGGAGAGCTGCAGCTAGGTAATCCGCGAAAAGTCTACCGGGGTTCTTCGAGCCATTGAGAATTGTGTGTATACGGGTGCCGCGGTGGTTTCAGAAGTGTAAAAAACGAAAAAAAAAACGAATGAAAGAGGAAAAATGATTTCCACCTACAGTCACGTATATAGTACATTATTATATTTTATGTATATGAAGTATACGTGTTTACACGCGGTACAGACGTACATACTTTTATGAAATTTCGAGTGTGTGTGATACGTTCGTGTGTGTGTGTGTATGACGTAGGTATTGACGTAGGTATATATTATATTTATACACGTCGGTGTATTCGTGATGTTCCGAGGGGTTGGTTTTTATTGTTTCCCGACAGCGTATTTACGGGTCCTATTACATTATCTGAGTTTGGCTCGAGTAGCCGAAACGTAACCGACAGCCGATTTTAAGAGTTTAAGTTTAAGTCTTTAAGTTTTTAAGAGTAAAGATTTTAGGGGGTTTAAAACAACATATGGGCGTATTATAATATATTGTCGGTCCACACTCGATAAACTTCCGCGGAAGGTGGTAAGTGTAAACCAATACAAACCAAGTCCTAGTTGATGAAAATCCACGGAGGATCGCGTATTTACAAGTGCGTCATAGGCATTACCACTCGAATTATTGGGTCTGTAAATACGCATTTTCGGCCGGTAGCAGATGTAGGTACCTATAATACCAAGATATAATACGTCATAACGTTTAGTAACGTTCTTGCGCATCACTGTCGTTATGCTACATCTAAACGTTTACCTATACTTATCTACGAGTACCTATAAACATTAATTATACCCGTTTGGGACTCGGGGTTTTCAGCGTTGCAAATTTCCTATTCACCTAATACCTATTTATAAGATATATGTTTAATAGGTATATTGTTATACATACTTTCCATCCTGATCCTGATGCATTATACAATTACATAACAAAAACAAAAATAACAATAATAACACGCTGATAACGTATTGTAATAATCAGCAGCGTGTTGTCCCAGAAGTTTAATGAAATTGAGATGTAGAAAATAATATGATCAAATTATTATTCATGATTCACGATTAAATATTCTTCTGTTGTATTATCTAATAAATCAATAGTGAAAATTTAAAAGCCGGATTCGAATAAAAAAACAATTTTTATACCATTGAATATATATTTAATAAATAAAACTTTTTTAGATTCTAAGTGGAGTGAAAAATGTATTCGTTTTACTTTTTCTCCGATTTTTATGTGAAACACCTTTTCTAAAAGGAAATTTTATCCGAAATGTACTTTGAGAAGGTTAAGTTTTGACAACGAATAAGTATACTGCAATGTATTGATATATATTATAATACAAGTGATGTTTTTTTTTGCTTCTCATTAAAATAACCCCTCTAAAATTCAATTAAGTATCTACCTAAATGTCTAATAATATGTGTAATACTTATTATTCTTATTCTTATTAATCACTCAAATCAGTAATAAATTCAAAGACGTATTCAGAAATTTGGGGTCCGGGTGCTAATTTTTTTCCACCCTCCCCCACACCCCAAAAAAAAAAATTATTTGACTTTTTCCCCCTACCGAGCGTCTCAGAACTTACTTTCTGATCACTTGTTATCATTACCTTTTTTAGAACAAAAGTTAGTAAAAAAAGAAAACAGATTTAAACTATATAAACTAAATAATATAAAATAAGTTTTGTCACTATAATTACAAAACAATAAATATTTACAATTTTCATTTTTTTTTCAAGCTTTAAAGGAACTAAACTCATTGATTATGTCATCATACTTTAAACTTTTTGTAATGTCAGATTCGATGTTTAATATGGCAATACTGTTTAGTCGTTCATTAGTCATTTTCGACCGCAAATAACTTTTAATTTGTTTTAATGCACTAAGCAATATTTACGTACGAGTATATGTCTCCAAATCCTTCATATCTTGTCTATACTCTACAGCCAGACGTTACAATATTAGAATATTAACCAATTTATATTATTTTTCATTTTCATTAACAGAAAATGGGTTATGTAAAAATCTAAGGCCGCCTCAATCAAAATGCCGCTCGGGGCGATCGCCTCCACTTACCCCTCCCCCCCAATACGTCACTGATAATAATTTAATTATTTGATTCCAAATAATTTAGTAGTCCCATTAAAACCATACACAATATATTTTGTATTTTTGTTGTAATTGAGTTAAAAATATTCATAGAGACTTAATGGATATCTTATAAGATAACTTATATTTTCTTTTTATAGGCTAGGTAAGATGTTCAAAACATTTAAGCCATTTTTGAGCTATTTATAGACATTGTAATTTTACGAGATTATTACGTAATATTTATTCGGTAAGTACTCTGTGGATAAAATTGTTAGACCAATTTGAAATAATTAAAAGTTTAACAGGAAATTTATTATAAGTTATGTTTAGTGTTTAACAAGAAAAAGTTAAGTTTAATGTAGTATTTTCATTTTTATAAGAATTTTAATACCAAATTTTAAAAAAAATTGTAAATATTACAGCTTCTTAAAACATGTTTAACCGAACATCACGCCAAATCATTTTTCGTTAACAACGATTAAACAATGCATATAGATATACATTAAATTCCCCTCTAAATTTTTTCTTCTAAACTTTTCACCTACAATAGTGGCCCACCAATCATGCGAAGTGTGCAAGTCATCTGATTGCTGCATTAGGGGAATATATTTTTGATTTTCAATGGGTTTTTATAATTGGGAAAAAACAGAAATAAAATTATGGGTAAAACGACAAATATTTACAAAGCGCCACTGCATTACCGATTTCATTGTTTTTAATTTTTGCAACTTATTTTTTCTACCAGAAATATTTGAAAATGACGAGAGATCGATTTCGTTCCTTTTAATATATAGCCATTGAAAAAGTAAGTTATTTTTTGATATCTAAGGTAATTTTCATAATAATTAAGAAAAACAAAAAAATTCAAAAAAAAAAATCGAAAAATACAATTTTTTCAAATAATAACAGTGCAACGGTTTTATTATTTAACATTTCAAATTCCGAGCGTAGCGAGGGAGCAATTTGTTTTACTAAGATGTTTATTTTTTTCTTTCTTTCTGTGTTCTAGTCTGTGGACACATTTTTTCTTAGTAAAATGACTCCAATTTTTACGTGCAGCATCTTTTTTGAAAACTCAAGTTATCTAAATAATACTTTACACGTGTCATTTTTTTAATTTTCGACATCATTTTAAAAAAATAAAGGACTTAAGTGGGGAAAAAACCTAGAAAAACGTACAATTTCACGATTTCATTATTTTATAAAAACACGGACGACGTTTTCTACTAGAAAAAATTATTTAATCGAAAAATTACAAAACACATTTTTTGTTTCTTTTTTTATTCACTTTCTTACAGTATCATTGCCAAAATGTTTAAGCCACTTTTGAGCTTTTAAGGTATTTTAACTTTTGGAAGTTTTTTGTTGTAATTTGTTTATAAGTACACATATATACTTGAAACTTGGTAATAATACTTATATTAGACTAACTTAAACGTAGTAAAATTTTCAAAATCATCGGACAACTTTTTTCCCTTATTTAAATTTTTTTACAATGTTACTTATTTTTTTTTTGTAGACCACTTTTATCCTAAAAAACTTCCTTAATATAAGTGTAGTAATTTTTCTGAAAGCTAATTTTGTCTACTTGATAAACATATAGGTCATTTTTCGATATTCAAAACGGTATTTAAAATAAAAAGGATCAACTGGGAAAAAGTACGATTTTTTCGCGATTTCGTTATTTTAAATAAGTACCTACCACGTTTTCCAGCACAAATATGAGTCCTATTGAAAAACAATAAGACATCTTTTTTGTTAAACTATTAATCTTGTTTTTAATGGTGTAGTTCGTTTTTTTTTGATTTTTGAATTAGTTTTCATAATAATCGGGAAAAAACTTAGGAAGATAAGGTTAAAAAAAATTATGGCACATCAAATTAGGTATTACCAAACTGCGCTCAGAATTGTCTTTCGTCAACAATGAGTTATCGTTGCTTACAGATATAAATAAAATAACCTAATATATCCTACCTTCCCCACTACCCACCTACAACAGTGGTAACGCTCATCTCCAGTATTAGCTCTTTTATTTTTAAGATTATATTTGTCTACCAGAAATCTTTATCCAAATTTTAAGAATAGCATATTTTCAAAAAGAAAATTTTGTTTAGTTTGTTGTACCTAAGCAAGTCGTTGTTTAATTTTTCATATAGTTATCTTAATGATTACGAAAAACATGGAAAAAACGTAAGAAATACTGCAAAATGTACGGCATTTGGTGTTTTTTGTTGTTTTTCGGTAAAAAGTTGTTATAGATACCAATAGTTAAAAAAAAAAAATTACATTGGACTTTTATAGATGTGATAAAATTTTCAAAATATTCTAATTATTTTTAGGTTATTTATAGATATATGATATTTTCGTGTTTTTATCTGTACTATTATTTGACAGGAATCTGTCATTAAAATTATACGACTTAAGATAAATGCTTGACAATTTAGCACAAAATACATTATAAGTTACACTTGGTGATCTAAAAAACAAGTGTGAGTTTAAAGCATTAATTTTTTTTTCATAAGCGTTTCAAGAACAAATTTTTACTAAAATCGTAAAAGTTACGCAATTTCAAAATATGTCTCACCGAACTTCGCTCCGAGTCCGCTCCAATAGTATATCTTTGCGTACAGATATAAATTAAATAACTTAATATATCCTATCTTCTTAACTTTCTATTCACATGAGTGACACACCGGTTCCCAGTATTAGCATTTCTTATATATGCTATTTTGGTTTATAATTGCCTATCAATGTACACATGATTCGTACCATAATATATGTACTCAGTGGTGCATTTTTATGAATTTCAAACAAATTTTCAAACAAGTTTTTGAGATACCGTAAATAATAAAATAGGTGATTTGTTCGACGACACGTATTCGAAATAACAAGGAAACGTCTATAATTTACAATACAAATTATACGAATATAAGTATCACAAGAATAATTCGTAAAAAAAATCTAACATTTCGGTGGGAATGGCGTGGTAAGGGAGGTATATTCAATCATCTTTTTCACATATGACCTGTATTTAGTGTAACGGCGCCTACGTCTAAATACTTTAATAGAAAACGGAGTGAGGGGGGAGGGGTGCAGAAGACTAAAATTACATTTCCGAATGTGATTGTTTGTTACGAGAGTATTCCAAAAGGGCGGCGCCTGTGTAATGGACCCTGTGGCAGTGAAGGTTGTGCGGTGACGCGGTGAGGCGTTTGGTAACTGATAGTTTTTAACAATATTGTCGTGTTATACTGCAGTCAGTGTGGCGTTGCCGCTATTGCCAAGCGCATTAGAGGAATTATGCAGACCCATGAACAAAAGGGATATATAGTATATATACCAATATACGGTATAGCCAGCAGCTAGTGCGAATAATATACGACAGATGGCCGATAAAGTCACATTTGTATTATTGTGAAACTGCCTTTTTGTAATATATATGTTTTTATGACGATTGTCCACGAACGCGTTCGATGACGACGATGACTTATGTTTATTATTATTATTCATTTTTTTTTTTTTTTATTCGCTTTTATTGCTTTTGTTGTATTATTTATATGAAAAATTATGTTATAAATGGTTAAACGTACGGCATCTCATCGTGCCACCTGTTCATTATTATTTACGTATTCTCCCGAAAGATAAATATGTTTTATTAGTGTGTCAAGTGTGTATTAATATTCCTTGATCTAAATAGCTCATCAATCAATATGCATCAACTGCATGCATGCACTTTTATAGGTATTTCCTACAAAAAATATCTAGATAACATAATAAAAACACTGTCAATAAGGATAAATCTTTACATCGAAATTTTTAGATACAAAGTGCAGCAAAGTAACTAATATGTTAACCAAAAACTATAATTGATAATACAAGAAAGACAATGATATTAGCAGTGGCCAGAACATAGAAAGACGAAGCCGTTAGATTAACTATTGGTGCGACCTACCTATGTCCCTTATTATTATTATTTTCGTTTATTGATTTTAGATTTATATAAAAAATATACACGTTCATAAAAATAAATATTTATTTTACTAATATTATTATTATTAACATTAACATCTTAATTATTGTATTTAAATACATTAGGTACGTTATAATATTTCATTATTTTTTAATTAAATAAAAAGTTGTTAAATTTTTAAAATATGATAAATTTATACTTGTGTTACATACTGATATTATAATAAATTACTGTTACATACAAATATACCAATACTTGTTTTCGTTTACCTACGTGAAAATTATTTTGCATAAATGTAATACATGTAATTTATAAGTGATTATGTAAATATTTAACACAATTTGATAAGTTTGAAAGTGTCTTCAATTATTTTTATATTATACTATTAATGATCACAAATAATAATGACAGGCAAAGATAGACCACCAATAGTGATACTGAAGGCACTGGTTATCGTCTCATTACTATTGACTTTCTCGAATATTATCATTTATAGTACTTGGTTTTATTACCTATGGGCTGTGATGCGTGTTTTTCCTTTTTCTTGGAAAATATTTTTTTTGTTAGTAATAAATAGGCTTAGATTTTTTGATGTTATACTTTAAAATATACGGATTTTCACCTCATAATATACTTTAAACAATTGAGTATACCTCATCAACTGAACTCCGGTTCAGAATTATTTTTTCGTTAGAAGTGGTTTGTCGTAGCTTACATTAAATTATCTATAACAGTGGCTGTATCCATTTCCATTATCCTAGGATAGCTTTTTTTTTATTTTTTCTGTTAGTGAATAACTTTTCTATTAAAAATATTGCTCTGAAATCTTAAGTGTAGCACCTTTTCTGTAAGGAGATTTTATCTAGCCGATGCATTGAGGAAATCAGTTTTTGATTTTCTAAGGGGTCCAAAATAATTAGGAAAATTCACGAAAGGAAAAATAGATAAAATAACAAATATTTTTGGTCAGCTACAGCGTTACCGATTGCATTGTTTTTAATTATTGCAGCTTATGTTTTCTACTAGAAATATTGCTTCAAGAGAAAAATTACCAAATTTCGACTTTGTTCCTTTTAGTATACAGCCACTGAAAAATAAAATCATTTTTTGATATTCAAAATAGTTTTTAAAATAATTGGGAAAAACAACAAATTAAACTTCATTAATATTAACGGCAACGTAGTAAAGGCGACGTAGATTTCCAGTTTAATTATTTTAATTTTTACAAACGATGTATTCTGTTGAAAACCAAAAAGTATGTAGAAAGTCAAGCGAAATTTTATTTTTTTTTTTTTTTTTGATTCAGTTAAAAATATACGTATAAACTTGACATTTGTTCAGATAACTTGTCTTTGTCTTTTATAGACGTGGTAAGATTTTCAAAACATAGATGCCATTTTTGAGATATTTATAGACATTTTAATTATGACTTATGTGTGAACATTTTCTCTGTTGATTATAATATATTATTTCATAAATACATAATTTATTGGACTTGATACACTCCGTCTATAGGAGAACAAATGGCACATAATGAATACCAAACTTAATTAAATAAAAATAACAATACGTCCTTGGACCTTCCTCATCAATATACTGCGCAAATTTGAGTCCGCTATAAACTGCCTTAGAATTGGACATACTCGACTTACCCACTCAAATCTCATGAAGAAAAAAGACCCCCTCCCCTCCTGCACACGCTGCGGGGTCCCACTCACCATCAAATACATTCTCGCGGAATGCGATGTGTACAGCACGGAGAGAGGAAATATGTAAATATCTGACCACCTTGTAGAATCACTAAACCCTATACAATCCAACACCATCAAGCTCTGCCAATTTTTTTCGGCGACACATCTGATCAATCTAGTGTAACGGACCCCTCAAATAACCGTACTACATCAAATTGTACAAATACAATTTTTCCATATTTTAATATGTATAACCTATGTAACCTAACTACTTTCAATTCTTCTTTAATCTATAATTTATCTATGTATCTTAATATCTTCATTATGTAAAGAATTGTTACGTCCAATGTCTTTAATGTGGCTTTAGTCACCGCGGACTGTTATGTTAATCAAAAAAAAAAAAAAAAATTATTGGATTACCTACCAAGTTACTTTCTACACTACCCTCTTGAAATAGAAAAATATAATCATTATGTCAGTTTAGTTTCTTTCTAAAATCATTCGTATAACTTAATAGGTTAACCAAAATTTAATCAGAAACTGTTCGGCTGTTTCAAAGGGCCTTAACAATAATAATACCAGCGGGAAGTCTTACACAAAGTGAACTGCCCAAAAAGAGAAGAAGAGACATATGAAAAAAAGAAGGAAACCTATGCATAAGGATAAAAGATTATAATGCGGATATAAACCGTTAGATAATTTCACAATGTAATCCCCAAGGGAAAAGCGGAATTGTCGGCGGTGCACGGGAACAGGGACAGGTCGCGTGCACGGTTAAACCCCAAGAGTGTGCGATGGCTGATATCCATCAAACCTAATTATTATTTGCGCTTGGGATCGGTTCGGCACGTGATTCAAAAACAGTTATTCTTCTTTCTTTCTCTTGTTTTTTTTTTGTTGCCTTTATACGGCTGCGGCTAGTTGAAGTGCTCTCCAGCCTCAGGCGAGTGTACCAAATTAAATTAGTGGACGTGGTTCGGAACACAAACTATGGAAAGAGTAATTGGAAAAACTACCTCGAAATCGTTTTATGACATCAAAGTAGTGTTAAGTTTAAACAAAATTCTCGTCACTAGGTTAAGAATGAAACAATTTTTCAGAATATGATTTGACATATAAATATATGTGGGAAACTAAATAATACAAAATTATAATATTGTACCTACCTATATACTTTTATAATCAAACTGATAATTATTTTGTAAAATATAGTAATATGTATTTCGAAATGTTGGTTGAAATTATACTATACAATAATATTTTTCGTACAGCTTGATTCACGAAACAAATTATATTCTCCTGAGTTTTATAACTTATAACAATATTTCAAACTCAATTTATTTCAATTTTAGCTTCGGAGCGTAGCAAGGGATCTATTAATTTTACTATGATGTATGTTTTTTTCTGTATGTAAAAACTTTTCGAAAAGAAATCTTGCTGTATAGAGTACAATCTTTTATTGAAAAGAAATTTGTTCTAATCAGTGCATTAAGAAGATATTTTTTTGGTTTTTCAAGGGGTTTTCGAATAAATTGGGAAAAGCCAAAAGAAAATTATAGGTAAAACGGCAAATATTTACGGCACGCCGCGGTGTTATCGTTTTCATTCTTTTTAATTTGTTTACACGATGTTTCATACTAAAAATATTACTCCAATCATAAAATGACAAATGATCGATTTTGTTCCTTATAATATTTCTCAATTGAGAGATTAAGTTGTTTTTCGATATCAAAAGTAGTTTTTGTAAATAATTAGAAAAACCTAAAAAATAAGATTTTTTCAAATTACTGCGCAACGAATTCATTATTTTAAATTTTTAAGGACTAATGATTTCTACAATTTTTGTTACTTCAATATAAAAACAATAAGCAACCTTTTTTGTTGGATTTTTAATCTAGTTGGTAACTAAGAAAGTAGTTTTTTGATTTTTTTTTTTTTTTTTGTAGTTTTTTTAATAATTGAATCAAACTGAAAATACACAGAAAGAACCGGAAAATTTACGAAATTAATGCTTTTATTATTTAATTTTTTTTTTTTATTTAAGGTAATACACTTAAAAATATTCGAAAAAAATTGAAATTCTTCAAAAAACTTATATTTGCTTTTTCTACAAGTGTTAAAATTTTCAAAACATTTGTGCCATTTTTGAGCTGTTTATAGACATTATAATTTTGCGAGTTTTGGATGTAATTTTTATTTGGTAGGTACTCTGTATATACAATTACTAAACTTAACAGAAATACTAAAAAGTTGGACAGGTGGACCATTATAATGATAAGTCGTATTTAGTAGTATAAAAATCGAATGTATAATGTCGCATTTTTTTTTTTATATATAAGTTTTAAAATCAAATTTCGATGAAAATCGTAAATATTACATAATATAAATATAATATATAATTATAATATTAATATTCTGAATCGTTTATTGTTGGTTAGAGGATAAATAAATAACTTTATGTATTCTACCTTCCCAACAATCCACCCACAGCAGTCACTGCATCCGTCCCCAGTATCATCTCTTTTTTTTTATGTGTTTTTATATACCTACTTGTTTAACTAATGTATATATTAATATATATATATATGTATTAATTAAAACATATGGAAAAGTAATATCGTAAAGGTGTATCGTAATAATTACAGAAATATCACATTCGAAATAAAATACTATTCACTTGTAAACAAGTTTTTAAATGAATCAGAAAGTTAATATATTTTTAGAATATTGAATTTTGAATAAATATAATAAAATGCAATAAATGTTTAAAATGATAAATACAAATTTGTATTATTTTGTAAAGTCCTTTTCACGTGACTAAATTGGTACTTAAATGATTTTCACATAAGTATAATATTCACGTGAAAGGTAATATATGTATTTCTATTCAAATAAAATAGGTATTCAAAGAGTAAGCGTATCATAAAAAAAAACCTGCAGGGAACGTAAAATACATACACCGATATTTAATTATAATATCTATATATAACGATAAATCATTGCTAACAATAAATGATTCTGTAAAATATATCCTGAAATTCCTTGATTTTTACGATATCATTTGTTCATAAAAATTTGAATTTAAAACGTCTATAAAAAAAAAAACTATTTAATACATTACAATCAACTTTCTTTTAGATTCGGAGGGTAGCGAATAATGTATTGGTTTTAGAATTTTTGCATTTAATATTTTTATACTGTGAAAAAAATTTCTACTAGAAATTTTGTTTTGATATATAAGTGAAGCACCTTTACTGAAAAAAAAAATTGTTTATATGGAGCATTATGGTGATCATTTTTTAATTTTCCGAAAAGTTTTTCTAATACCTGGGAAAAATTGGGATAAAACGTAGGAAAAACGGGGGAAAATGTACGAAAATAATACTTTGAATATTTTCAATTTTGTTTTTTGTTGTGATTCACTTAAACATATTCGTAGATACTAGATATTTAGAGAGAAAAGTTATATTTGCCTTTTTTAGATATAGTAATATTTTCAAAACATTTGAGCTATTTATAGAAATTTAATTTTTTTGTTGAAATTCAGTTCAAAATATTCGTATGGACTTTATGGACTTGAAACTTCGATATACAAATTATAATTGCCTTTTCTAAACGTGATAAAATTGTAGCTATTTTTAGAATAAAAAAACATGTGAGAGGGGAGGGTAATTTTGTGGTCGTAATTTTTAAGTCTAACTCCGGTCAGATTTCCTTTTCCGAAAAAGTGCTACCATTGTGAATCGGATCAAAATTGTTTTTAGAAAAGTTGTCCACAGAGAAATAAAATAAACATAATTGTTCGCTCCGCTCAGAATCTAAAAAAGAAATCCTCTAAGCTCAATTATTATTATTATTTTCTTTTGTTAAAAAAATAATGACTTATAATGAACCTCCTATTCAAGAAACTCTGTTTTTATAAACCAATTTTAAACGTAAAGTAACTACCAAATAAAAATTATGTACAAAACTTGCAAAAAATTATAACGTCTATCGGCAAACTAATGAAATTGATACGCCACGGCACGCCGAACATATTTTATAAATGTTCTTTCCGGTTTTTTCCAACTATTTTGAAAACCCTTTGAAAAATCAAAAAATTACCTCATCAGTGCACCAACCAGAACAAATTTCATTTCAGAAAAGGTACTATATTTGATAAATTGGAGCAAGTTTTCTGTTTGAAAAGCTGTTCACAGACACAAAAAAAGCACACATCATAGTTCCAATATATTCCTTTCTATGCTCTAAAAAAAAATTTACAAATTTAATTCATACATTCAATTGAATATTGAATATTCAACCTTTCGTGTAACACATAAACTATCGAAACTGCTAAAATAAAATTTAATACTTTAAAGTTCAGTTGTTTAATATAATACGAAATTATAATATATAGTTTTGTAAGTAAACACTTATTGATGCATATTATAATTACTAAATCATGAATAAGAAATAAGAATAAGAAAACAACGAATATTCATTTGAAAATACCTTAGAGTATTTTATGTAGCTTCTAAAGAATATATATTTATAAGCTAATTTTTGACATGATTTAATAATTATTTAGGTACTTATTTAATATTTAATGTTTGTATAATAATATTGTATTCAATATTCACTGTTGAGTGCTAGGTTTTAATTAAAACTAAATACACAGATACTTAAATTATTAAATTATAATAGTTAATGATTTATTTTCAATTCAATTATTAAATTTAGATACTGTAATGTATATTCATTTTTAATGAAACATAAAGTTAAGTATATTTTGTTACTCTAAAATTGTGTACACGAAAATTATTTCTCATCCACATTACCGCAATTGTGTTTTAAAATATACTTTGTAAACTGTTTATTTTCCCGTCAATATCAATTTTCGGGAGGATTTCAAACTATGTATGTTTAAAACTAATAAATACTTTGTGTTTGGTTCTATTAATTTTAACATTTAATTTAATTTTCTCTTATTATACTTAATGTTTATATACGTATCGGTTTTTGAATTTATATAGGTATGATTATAATCGTAATAATTATAATCATTATAATAATTATTATATTGGTTTGTATATATATATCTATATGAAGCTACTACTTATAATATAGATTAGATATTTTAGACCATCTTATTATTTTTTAAATAATGCGTTAAAACTTTACAAATAAATTACGAAGTCACATTTCACTCATTTTCTTTACTCTATATCTATACGAAAATACACAGCAGAAATCGAATGCAAAATATATCCTCTAGTAGAATGCAGACAAAAATCCGTGTACAAACCGGACAACAATTTATTGTTAAGTAAAAAAAATCATTCGTGTTTTGCTTTAGTTGAAAAGTTATGCAACTTTTCTTGCAAATCAATACTTAACACAAAAAAGCCAAAAATATCTTAACGCACGGTAAACATGAGCATTGTCCATTACGAAATTAATGTACCTACTTATATAAAAACAACATTGTGTACACGTTTTGCGCACAGTTTTTTTATTCGTTGCACCCTTCTATAATATGTATTATTTTTGGGCAACGGGTTGTTTAAAATCATTTACCGCCGCAATAACATGAGGTTTTTATTCTGTTATTATTATTATTTTTTTTTTTATTATTTTATTCTACGCCTATGTGTTTCGCAGAACGCGTGCGGTTCACGTGCTGCAGCTTGAACAATAGCGTTCCGCCGGTAAACGTCCGTTGAGTCCCACCGTTATCAAAATTCACCCTATTCTACTACAGTTACTAAATGAACGTTTCGATTTTTTTTTTTTTTTTTTTTTAATACATATTTTTTACTATCATTATTATTATTACTATATTGTATAATTACACGATTGAAAGTCGAGAGGGCGCAAATCTACATGGGGATGTTGTTCTCAGGCTATATCGACCATACTAGTTGCGGTAAATCATATTGTAGGTACTATAATATCACAACATGTTTTGACTTAACACGGCCGTGATATATCACACACTCACACATTACAAACATAGCAATGATTACTATCAGAAAATGTTGGTACATTTCTCCAAAGACAATCGAAAAAACACGGATAGGGAAGAGTGATTTAGTAGTGAGTAAAAATGCAAACCCACAATGTGGACCACATTGTTCGTAACAATTTTCGCCACATTTAACTGTACTTATACATTTGTTTTTAACTAACAGTGAAGAGACGTGATACCCTCATATTATGCTATCACCGTTCTACAAACGTGTGACAAAGCAAACTTGCATTCAGCAAAGACAATATTGTACTGTGATTTTAGATTCCGAGCAAAGCGAGGGAGCTATTGGTTTTACTAAGATGTTGATTTCTTTTTTTTTTTAGTCTGTGGACAAGTTTTACTCCAATTTTTACGTATAACAAATTTTCTGAAAGCTCTTTTTTTTTTTTAGATATATTTACTTTAGAAAGGTATTTTTTTAATTTTTGACGTTATTTTTTAAAAAAAAGCTCTCAAGTGGGAAAAAATACGTAGGAAAACGTACAATTTCACGATTTCATTATTTTATAAAAACACGGACGACGTTTTCTATCAAAAAAAATTATTTAATCGAAAAATCAAAGTACTTTTTTTGTCGCCTTTTTAGTTTACTTTCTTACGGTATTATTGCCGAAATGTTTAAGCCATTTTTGAGCTTTGAAGGAATTTAAATTTTGGGAGTTTTTTGCTTTAATTCTATCATAAATATACGTAGAGACTTAATTGAAACTTGGTAATAATACTTATATTAAACTTACCTAGACGTGGTAAAATTTCTAAAATCATCGGATGACTTTTTTTCTTTTAATTTTTTTTTTTATAAACGTTTTGAAATCGAATTTAACCGAAAATCGTAAAAAAAAAAATAACGGCACTTCAAATTATTTATTACCAAACTGCGCTCGGAATCGTCTTTCGTAAGCAATGGTTTATTTTTGCTTATAGATATAAATGAAATAACCGTATGTATCCTATCATCCCCACTTCTGACCTACAACAGTGGCCGCTCTCATCCCCGGTATCAGGTATTTTTTTTTAATTTGAAAGTTGAATTATTAACCTCTTGTCAAACTTAAATATAAGAACATTGTATGTACTTGAAATATTGCCGTTAGTGCAATTTGTTTGGTAATTTAATTTTTAACGGAGATATAGGTAGGTTAAACATCACAGTTTAAAAATGCTCACCTGAAAATTAAAATATAAAGAAAATAGCACTAAAACTGCAATACATTGTTATTATCTTTAAGTTTAATAGTAGGTCTAATACTCACTCTAATATTAAAACTTATAGCACAACGTTGTTCTTACTAAATAGACATTTGTTGTCGTACGTTTGTGAGACGAAAACAACACATGCAGTTATCACGCCCTTAAGTTCAGTAGTAACATTGTTTATTTGTTATGTAATACTATTATAATGGATCATTTATAGTCATACATTTTAAATTAGGTAGGTACCTACCTCGTTTATGATTAAATATTCTATCACATTTTTTGCGTGATGATTACATATAAAGATTCTATTCATAGTAACCCTATTGGTTTAGTTGAATAACAGATGTTCTTGAATTTAGAATAGCATTTCAACTGTGGAATTCTATGTGTCCTATATGAAAGAATGTCAAAGTTTCCTATTTTTTTTTCTATTAAAAGTCATTGTTTAAAATGTTTGATGATTATTTTGTTCAAAATGGTTTAATATAATACCTATGTAGAAGAAAAATATATTTATTAATTTTATTATTTCAAATCATTCAATGTAATTGTAAAATGTTAACAGAGTTTTTAAAATGTATTGCTTAGGAAAGGTCAAATACATTTTAAATAATAATTTTGTTTTTTAATCCTTAGAAATTATCTTTCTGTGTATAATGCATAGTTATTGAATTATTATCATGGCCAAACGAATAAATAAATATAACAGCATTATGAATGATTAAAATTCGTATTACGTTTTAATATATTCGTGTTTTTAATTATTTTAGATTCTGAGGAAAGCGAGGAATGTATTGATTTTAGTGTTTTACAATGATGCTTATTTTTAAAAATTTACAAAATTAATTATTTTAAAATCATAAATATTACGACCTTTCAAAACACATATATTCACGAATTCCACTCAGATTAGTTTTTCGTTAGTAATGGTTAATTGTTGCGAACAGATATACATTAAATTTCCACTCTACCTTCCCAACTTCTTACCTACAACATTGGCTCATCCATCGTGCGAAGTATGTTCGTTTGTTTTTTTTAATTTTTGTCTTATCATAATAATGATTAATATAAATTTTGCAAAAAAAAAAAAATATAATAATTCAATTTTCAACAAATCAATGGTGTGACAAAAGATTTAATCAAAAGGCAATCGTATTTAATATCTTTTTAAGGAGTCTATTTATATGACAATTTTTAAGAAAATTGGAAAAATCCAATGTTAAATCTGTATATAAGTAGACAGGTATTGGGTATTAAAAAAATACTTTTCTCTAAAAATGTTTAGTTCACCACACCACTGCAGAATATTGTAGGTAAATGAGTTAAGGTGTTTTTGTAATAATGTGTCGTTCGAGGTACATATATATTTTTTATATTTTTAGATTCTGAATAGGTAATGATGAGATATGAATCCAAAAATACGGATTTTGGTATTAAAAATACGAGTCGTTAATTTTTTTTTTTTTTTTTTAATACAAAAGTGTGTATTAAATGATATTTACAAAAAGATCGAACATGGGTAAATTTAGACTAATTAAATATAGAAAGGAATGTATTGGTTTTAATATGTTTTGATATTTACTACTTTAGAAATTCAGAAATAATTTTTAAGAAGTATAAAACCGAAGACGTGAAAAAAAAAATATTGGATTTTCTAGATACATTTATATTGTAAAATTACAAAACGATACAAGGCGTATTCAAGTAAAATAATTTGACTAATGTATATGCTATATTTGAAATTGAATATATATGAAAATGTGGTATATAAAACATAAAGGAATTATATTTACTTAGCAAACTAGGATAAATATTTGTTTAAATAATAAACAATACAGAAACCACACGTAGCGATTATTGTTGTGCTCATAAATTATTTTCTTGATAATGGAAAAAAATTATATATTATGCATAGTTTTTTAGAATTCTGTAACTTAAAACTTAAATTAAACTCTTAAAAATAATATTCATCCGGCAGGCTTTATTTTTTTAAATAAGTAGATTATGTCCAATTAAAAACACAATTCCAGTAAACATGTCATATAATTTGCATTATAAAAAGTTAACATTTTTATGATGAAAACTGCTTCTTATTTCAATATTTATATTTTATGAAAAATAAATAATTATTTTGTTTAATAAACCTGGTGTTAAATAACTTTATGTACCTTACCTTCCCAACTACCCATTTACAACAGTGACCACACTCATCTTCAGTATTAGGTCTTTTTTTGTGCCTGTGAGGAAATTTTCAAATAAAAAGTAGCACCAATGTATCAAGTGTAGCATCTTTTTTGAAAGGAAATCTAATTGGCGCATTGAGCATATCATTTTTTGATTTTTCAAAAGGCTTTCAAAATTATAGGCAAAATGGAAAATATTTCCAGCGTGCCGTGAAATTACCGATTTTATTGTTTTAATCGTTTTTTCAATTAATAATAATAGCAATAATCTATATTCTATAGATACTATAGTCTAATAATATGTATCTGCACAGGATGGGATAAGTCTTCGATGCACGCCTATTCGTATTGGTTATTTTCCCGGTGTGTAACTATTGACTGATATGGGTAGGTATAATTATGGGAAGAACCAACAACCCTAAATTAAAGTAAAAATTCCGGTGCCTCTGGCGAATTTTTACCCTCCTTTCCCCCAAGGGAAAACTTCTTGGAGGTGAAATTCACCTATGACACCGGCAGTGCGAGTCCTTTTAACGTATATTAAAAAAAAAAGAATAACTTACAAAATTAATTTCATAATATTGTATATACCTATATAGTGTTTTTACTATGTTTACATGTACCCGTATTATAGTGTTTAAACGATTTTGATGGTCTATAATATTATTATACCCAACAGTCGGCCTGCAGTGGCATATTAGTATATAATAATTAAATTATAAAATACATATCAAAGAAAGACGTTCGTTGTTTTCGTTTATACAATTTGTTTAAGGACGTAAAAAAAAAAAAAAACAATAACAACTATCGTGTTTAAGTGGCGCGTAATAGTATTTATCACCACTGTTACAATCGAATGGACTCGGGGATTTGCGAGAAAAACGCGCCCGGTTTCGATAGGGATATCACCGTGCTCTCGGCCGGTCCCGTTATACTATACTCTCTCGCCCGAGTGTGTTTATTGATTTGATATACACTTATACACCATCACACACATATACATTTATGCGCGTGCATGTGTATATTTATATAGTGGGGAGCTCTGTACACATAGACGGCGGTTTGGTGGAGAAGGGTGCGCGTGCTGCACTGACTCCAGGTGGCGGTAATTGAGGGTAGGGCAGGGAAGAGATTATATGCGCTGCCAGTATATGTGTGCCAGATGGTTAAGACGGGTTACCAGTAAAGCCACAACGGGGTCCCTCCTATATACTTTACTAAAATATATATAATACTATAATATACAGAGTGTGCGCATATAGTAGTCGTAGCGTCGTAGCAGTAGTAGTAGTAGTAGTAGTAGTAGTAGTAGTAGACTACGGAGTCATAGTAGTATTAGTATACCGTACACACACGATGCATGTGTGTATATTTCAATCAACAAATTAAACGGGCCTTGTATGTGCCTCCCACTCTATCGTTGCCCGTAACACACCGTCCGTCAAACATGATTTATAATAATAATTATTATTATTTCTCATATATATATATAATAATAATAGTATGATATGATATCCATCCGGGAAGTATAATAAAAAAAAAGAAAAAAGAAAACTAGAATAAACGATGGGGCGTAGTACAAAAGTGCGCGCCCGCGTGTGTGTCTGTATGTGCGCGTGTACATTTCTGACTATTTTTGCCATCTAGACTTCGATAAGGACTATTCAAATATTATAATGTGTTGTAATAAAATTTAAATACGGATTTTTATTTTCGTTTTAACAGTTTTTAACGCTACTAAACTGGTCGCTCTCTGCGTCATGCCGCAGAACTCGTGAAACGTATAATATTTATAGTAATATATCGCGAAAAGGTTTCTTTTTAAATTAAATTTAAAGACAACGACGTTGATGAAAATGTAAACATTTACAAGGCTTTCGATATCGCAGTATGATGATGAGCCGAATGTCTTTTTCTGATTAATCATTGTACATATTGTATACACAATTTACACAGTAACCCCCTCCTCCTATTCCCCAATATATATCGAATACTCTTCTTAGTGGCTTTTGTGCCTGTAGCAATATTGTTTTTTTATTACGAGAAATGCATTAGGTTTCTACACAAGTAGATAATATTATATTACTAACTATTACTCCATATTATAATGAGTGACAATAATAATTGTTGCGTAGTCAAATAATTTCTCACCTAGTATAATAGTGGATGGTTTTTTAAAATTATTACACGAGGTTCATAAGTTTATCTTAGTGGTAAAACAAATAATAGTTGAGTATATTGTAATTTATTTTTATAGGTATTTTAAGATCAAATTTTGACGAAAATCATAAAACTTACGGCAATTCAAAACATGCATGTAGCAGGTATAACTGAACTATAGCATTGGTTTATCATTAGGTAAGTGCTAATATAACAATTAAAAAACTTTACATATCCTTCTTTTTTTCTTTTTTGAATTTACATAAATATTAATCTTAGTGTACTTAGTATGATATGATTAATTTATGATATAATTAAAATTCTGAAAAATCTAAAAACAACAAAATAATTTTTTCCAAAAAAAGAATTCCCCCATTATTACAAAACTATAAAAATAAGTAAACCTCGTGGCTACATTTTTTATATAGAAATAATGTTAGGTATATATAAAAAAACCTAATATTGTTCATAGTTAGTACTTTTCCTACAAAAGATTATATACGAGATGATCAATTTATCATAAGACACTTATTAACTCAGAAAGTATTAACTTTTTTTTCTAGAATTTATTTTCTAGAACATTTAAGAAACAATAAGTTTCTTTACAATTGTATATTTATGTTATTTTCTATCACCCTTATTTATAAGGGTAAAACCACTACCTATTTTTGATTTTCAAATGTCAATCTATACTAAAATGTATTTTAAATAATACTCCATCTTTTTATGAAATGTTTAGTATAGGTTGCCAATAGATAGAAATTTTACCCTCCCAAAAAAAATAAAAATTTTAAATTTTAGAGCAGCGTGTTTCTTAATTGTTCTGGAAAATAAATTCCAAAATAAGTTAATACTTTCCGACATATCGAGTGTCTTACGATAAATTGATCACCCCGTATTTAGATCAATTTAAATAATATTAGTCATGTGTTTTAATTATTGGTAATGTACGAGTATAAAATTATTTATACTAATAAAATAGTGTACTAAATAATAATAATGAGTTATTTATGAAAGTCTTATACTTTTAATATCCGAATATTATGATTTAATTATTTCAGCTGTTTTTTTTTTCTTTTATTTAAGTGTTTTGAAAAAAGATGGGCACTTATATGGTTTTATATGAGTGAATATGATTCCATTATCTAACTTATCACCCATAATGTTTAGCTTATTAATGTTTTAGTGTCATATACATAATGTTTAATTTTCTTATTTATTTATTTTTGTATTTCAAAATAGGTAAAGCATTTCGGGGTAAAACAAGACATGCAGTTTTTAACTAATATTAAAATTTAAAAAAAAGTTATTTGTTCCATCTTACCCTAACCATGGTATATGAGTTTAAATCAGATAGATTTTTAATACATGTTTTCAATTATCTCAACATGCGTTTTATTTATATTAATTATATACAATTACACATCTTGTTATATCCTGTTATATTCCATATGACTTGTTTCATAACGCAAAATTAATGATGTTTAATTAAACCAAAATTATTAAATACTTAATAAATATGTTTAATTAATATTACACACAATTGAATTACAGAAGTATATAAATATATTAAAATAATATTTAGTAGAACTAATTATTAATTCTTATCTTAAAATTCCAAAGAAATTTTGACAAATATGATTTTCAAATAGTAATACCTTTTAAATCAGGTTTTATAAAAGAAAATATTTGTCTAAAAATACTCATATGCACAATAATAACATTAAAAATACCGTTTAATTATTAGTTTATAAGAGACTCAAATTTAAACTGAAGATGTAGGAAGAGTTATATTCTATAAACAAAAATGCAATTTATTACCTTTCCCTACTCCTCCAGTCTAAATGTACATCATTTTAGCTCATAAACAATATATCTGATACAATTTTCTAAAAGTATATTCCTTTTTGAATCTGTGCTGAAAAGAGGGGATTCCATTTGAAAATTAAAATTTGATGCGTTTATGAGGGAATATTTTGGAAAATTGTGTAAATGAGATTTCATCAAACGATTTTAAAATGACAGAAAAAAAAACGAAATCAATTTAAATAAAATTTTTGAAAAAGATTTTGATTAAAAACTATTAATTACTGTTTCATGATAAACAAAAACAAACTTTTCTATTGCCAATTAAAAATGTTGATTAAATCTTTTTTAAGTTTAATATATGTATATATTTATCAGATTCATTTTAACTAATAAGCATGCATTTAGTTTTATTTGTGTTTTAGACATTTTAATATTTATAGTACAAATAATGAAATTATTAATATAATAAAAAGTGAAGTGACGGCATTATGGCAAAGAAAAGTTAAGGGTTGATCAATACGCATTTTTTTATAACAAATAACCAACTTGATAAAAAAAAAAAAATAATTCCCATAGGATGAACACTGAAAAGCAAATATTAAAAATTAAATAAAAAAATACTGCGGGATAATAAATAAACTTCTGTTTATTTGTGGTGAATATGAGTACGTATACCATGAGCTGATGAACAAATACAATTTTGCGAGGAATTATTTACGATTCACCCCATCATGCACTTGTTTTAAAGATATACAAATACAAAATAATAACCACTGTCGTTTATAATAGAGAACGTCAGTATTATTATTTGCTATTTATTATTTTGTGCATAAAATGTATAATCAATTCAGTGTGCTACACAGATCAAATTTAACTATTAAAAATTTTCATTCGTGTAATTCTTATTTGAATAAATGTTGAGCGAAAAAATTTTACACAATTTCGAAGAATCGTCATTGTTGAAATATTATTTAATATTGTTATTATTATAACTGTATTGCCAGGGCCGCATTTATGGTTTAGCCACTCCGTGCAAACAAATTCTGCCCCCCCCCCCTTGAGTTTCACATATTGATGATTTTTGTGTTTTCGTTTAACAAACGACGTTTACATACAGCTGGCTAAGTATATATTTTAAATAAGGAAAACCTATAATATAATATTATTATTTTTTTAATCAAGACTTATAAAATACACCATAAAAAAACGCCAGACGTACGATTTTTATTGTACAAGTACGATAGTTAAGAGTAGTGTACGATGTATGATGAACAAAACTTATATCATACACTAAAATACGATAATCAGGACGGATTTCAGGACCACTCTCATAAATCTGCCACTCGGAGCAATCGAAATATTTGAATAACACGTTCTACATTGTATGTGCAATGCATAGCAAATATATAATAGGTAAATATATGAAAATAAAAATATAATAAGCTAGATTTTTATTTTTTAAATGTATAAAAGTTGTATAATGTGACCATGTTTGAAGGGCGGGTGAAATGTTTTTATACTTTACCTATTATCCCACTCCATTTCCAAAAAAATTTTGTTTTTATCATGTATGCCACTCTCAAGAAAAGTATACAACCATTGTGATCTGTATAGGTATATTCAAATAAATAATAACATAATATATTTTAAATTTAAACTTACATTAAAACATTAAAACTTTACATTAAGACTTTAAATTTATTCGCACCTAGATACAGTTTTATCACAATACACAAAAAAAGATTAATTTTACTATTTGTAATCCTAATTTATTAAGTACTTCATTCAGAGTTAATTTTAACATTTATTGAACAGCCAACATTTTAAGACCATTTAATCGATTTTGTGGAATAAAAAAGTAAGGAATTATACTTTAATTTAATTTCTATCACAGAAAGTCTATGAAAAATATTGAATTTATTTTAATTAAGGTTCAAACTTCAAACATTGTGTTTCTTAAACATTTTTTTCACTTTTTATTTTCTACGCAATTCTTTTTTTTTTTTTAATATTCATTTAAAATATAATGGTTAAAATTAAAAAAATATGTACTTTTGGAGAATATCGTTGTGTACAAAAGTATATAACTTAAATAAAGTATTTCGGGCAAGGGGAAGGAGTGGCACATTGAGAGAGGGTACCTTTTGAGATGGCCAGATGACGAAATTTTGTGATAGAATTTGGTCATGTCTACCGTAAGAAAAAAAGTTTAAGACATACATCAAAAATAAAACTAATATGTTTTCACTACATTTAAAATCTAAAGGTTCACAATAATGGTATTTATTTTAAATGGAAAACTATTATTGAGTAAAACTATAAGCGTTCATAAAAATATTAAAAACCCATTATTATGTAAATTAACTTTATTGGAATTTCGATTTATTAATATTTTACATAATACTATTTGATGTCACCATTAGTGTTATTTTTCGCTATTGTATTCGACTCGTTTATAATATTATTGATGGTTTTAACAAGACCTACACCATCAGTTGTATAGGACAATAATACGTCATAAGGATAGGATAGACTGCACGTGTGTTGATATTGTTTTGCATTTTGAAGGCGTGAAAGCGTAGAAAATATTAGGAAAAAAAATAAGCTCGTTCAGTCATTTAGAAACACATTAGGGAAACATTTCCAATGCATGAGATTGTCCTGGTTTTTATTATTGTAAATTTGTAAAGGTTTCAAGCGTGGCGTATTATGTTAAGTCTCGTGCCGCATAACAATAGCAGTCACGAACAATGACAACGTAAGTCACGTGCCATCTTTTGGGTGATATAAAATACACATGGGCGCGTTCTGCATGAAAATCAAACAAATTTTTCTCCTTTTCCTTTTATTGTACATTTGTTTTATATATACAATAGCAAACGAAAACAATTTGTATATAGTTATAACAGCACACGTCACCAAGTCGCAATACCAGGGTTAAAACCCTGAAAATATGTCAAATAGTAACAAAACATTGGAATAATAATTTCCATACACAAAAGAACTAGAGTTTTTGAAAACGTCACTATTCCTTGCAAGTTACACTAATATTATCGTTGAACAATTTTGGGAGTAACTAATTAAAAACTTACTGGTTTGATAATATACAAATAAACTAGGTTTAAAAAAATATAATTATAAAAAAAATTTAGTTATTTATTTTAATAATCAATTTTAACTTAACTTAATTATTTTATTAAAATTTGAGTTACGAGTATTTCTAAAAAGTTATTTACGAATTTTTAAGAAATTATGTATGGTTACAGTATGAATGTAAAACATGACCAATTATAGTCATAATTTTTCCTTACTTAGTATTGTACCATAGTCCACTGCTGCTTCATTAGTTATAATCAATTTTTTTTTTTTATTAATCTCATTTTGCACATAGATATCTATATATCTACTTAAATGCGAATCATAGCCAGCATAATGAGACTGACTCAAGTACAATGGCTGCCAGTGCTTGCAAATATAGCTCCACCGAACTTGCGTAGAATAATGCACACAGAATGTGCAGTGGATAAAATAAAAATAAACCCAAATCTTCCATTGCACCATGACATTACTACGCATCTCTAAAAGCGACTTAAGTCAAGACATCCGATATGGGACCTAACATTTCCAGTAGAAGCTTTGTCAGAAACATAGAAAACACAATGGAGAGACTCGGGGGAGAGAAGCGTCACTTTGATTTGAAAACCCAGAGACATGAGTTCCTGGTTTTGATCTTCCGTGAATGCTGCGGTCAACTTTAAACAAGGTAAGAACTAAACAAAGTAGATCTAAAAGCCTATTCTATAAATGGGGAATAGAACAATCTCCTCTTTGTTCATGAGGAGCTGATCAAACGATCCGCCATATCATCGAAGAGTGTCCAAACACAAAATTCGATGGAAAAGTGGGCAAACTGCACGAAGACAATTATAATTGGATAGCGGGTCTAGAAATGTCATTATAATGAGTGATATATATATCAAATTTAAATTTTTAAACGTTTAAATGCTTATATGTTTTGTTTTACTTAATGCTATTTATTTATTTATTATTTATCTATTATTATTATTTAATGTTTTACTATCATTACCATTAGTATTATTACCTCTTTGTTAATTCAGCCGATTGTAACATACAAAATAATATATATAATACATTTAAGCTGTCAAATAATAATAAACTCAATACAAATATCATAACTTTTTTCTAAAGACATTTTAAAAAAAAATCCGAGAACTTACACGTCTAATAAGCACTTTGTTGTGCTTATTATTTAATTACCTACATGATAATTAAGTAAAATAAATAAATTTTTTGTGAATAATTTTCTGAAAAAGTTACTATTCTTTGAGTTAGTTAACTTTAATGTAGGTAACAAAATAGTTTCGATTGTTGAAAACCATTTTCAATATTTTTTTATTTGAAAACAGCTGTGGCCTGGTTGGATATAAATATTGTTATCACCAAAATAATAAAACCAATCTCTTTCATAGATATATTTTATATCTATGCTCTTTATATAGTTTAATAGGTGCCTGGAACATAGATAATATATATTTAATATATAATATTATTTATAGTTTAATATTATTATTATAAAATTACGTGACTTCACGGCCAGATTTGACTTGCATAAATGCATAACAAATTATATAATAATACGGTGATAACACTGTTTATACTCCAGCAAAGCTACCGCTGTTACCACATTAAATAAATCCGAAAATCGGTTTAAACAAACTGACTAATTTTATAATTAAATAATTAAATATTTTAAGCATCTATATTACCTATATTAAAAATGCTTTTGGGTTACTGTCTATCGATTTGAATTATTTTCTAAGGAAAAAAATTGGATGCATAGTTTCTATTGAATTTCGCATAAAATGAGCTTCTTCAGAACGCAATCAATTACTGAATAATATTAGTGGTGACAAACTTCTACTACATATAGGCTTAATAATATAGATATTACTAAGTGGACAACTTAGTGGAGAATTTAGAAACACTCGTCCAAAAACGGGATATAATAGTCAAGTTTATAGTTAGTTGAGCACGCTTACCGTAGTCAATAACTACGGGGTTTTAACAATAAATAACCTATTGGAAAATTATTAATTTCAAAGTATTAATTAAAATTATAATAATAACTTTAGAATTTTATAAAATTCGTAAACATTTTGGGAAACTGGCACCAGGCTTCTAAATTAGTTACAACATTATGTTATTATTATGATAAATAAGTTAAATACATTTTATTATCGTAAAATTGCCAACATTTTATTGTACTTTATTTACACGGTTTGGTTTCAGCTAATCATTCTAATAGCATTGGTATGGCCTTTGGAATATTTGTCAACCCCATTACGATATTTAGTTGTAGCTAATTCCTACTTTACTCTTTATGTGTACATCGGCGTTTTATGGTAATCCGCACCCTCTAAGTGTTCAAAACGTATAGTGTGTATAATACATGTCCCCTTTCATAGTGTTGATCCTTAGCACGCTGTTCGTCGTTTGTGACTTATCCTATGGGGAAAGGTTTAGTGATAATCAATGGTAATCCCTCGACCGATTTTAACTGCTGGCCGTTTTGCTATTGCAGGGGGAGAAATGGCATTCGGACTAAGTGAAACATTTGGACGTATTTCATCGGTTGATTAGTTTTCATCCTCGTTTTTTTCTCGAATTTACTTTACACATATATAGACACACGCTGTGTTTTGGCACCCACATAGAGTAAAGTTTAACGCACACAATTCACGTGGTAAAACGAATAAGTTTATTACAAAAATATTACGTTTTTTCTTTTATTCGATGAAATCATTTAAAATAAATCACACATAATTAACCGTTTTTAAGGGTTAACCGTTTTTACAGATTACATGCTGTTCCACGAAGATATCTTCGCAGAACAGCCTGTATAGTATACAAATGAAAATTTAAAAAAATATTTTTACAAACTACCATCTAAGGTTAGGTTAGGTGTTAGTGTTTAACTAACTAGAAGTCAAGTATATAACTAGGTATATTTTTCTAAAATTTAATGATAAAAACGTCCAAGTTTGTACCGTATATTCATCAACTATATAATAAAAGTATATAACATTTTTTTTCAATATTTTCATAACCAGGAACAAATTAGGACACCAGTGATTCAGGAATTTTCCCGATGAGCCATTTCTTCAAATAACTATTTTTAAATTGTAGTTAATAGAAAAAAAAAATGATTAAAACAATTTAGTAATACCTATACAAGCAGAAATATTTATTTATTTCTAGAAAATTTAGTTTCTTCTTTTGGTCATTATATTCTAAGTTAAAATAACTTTTTATTTGTTACCATTTTCAGGTTATTGTGTTATTACAATAGGGTATCGTAGAATATAATAAAGAAAATATACTATTTAGCTTAAAGGTTTTATATAAATCAGAGAAATCTGTGGTTTGTGATACTACCTTACCTACAATATACCGGAACGTCATGGTGGCGCTTTGTTGAATGAAGCATTATCATTTTTTTCTAATTTTGATAATGTATTAATATTATTTAATTTTTATTTAGGTTTTAATATTATGTGCGTTTTTGTTACTTACAAATATATATTTGTTGTATCAAAAGATGCTTAGAGACTATTTTTATTGAATTTTAATTCTAGTTGGTGAATTAAGTATGTATTTTTTTAATATTTCTAGGGATTTTCATAATAGTTAGGGAAAACCAGAAAAAATGATAGGATAAATGGACAAATATTTACGTTACACCGGGTTGTTAACGATTTCATTATTTTAAATTTTGACGATTTATGTTTTCTGTCGGAAATCTTATTCCAATAAAATAAACAAGAGGCCTTTTTTGTTAATTTTTCAACTTTTTTTTATAATAATTTGGAAAAACTGAAAAAAGACGTAAAATAAAAAATTATCTTAGTTCCCAAATAACAAACTATAGTACCATACACAATTTTGAGAGAATTTGATAACCTAATGTAATCATAACTTATGTTTAGAAACCTAAATGAATTAACAATTTCATTTTTAAATAATTGACAAGACATTATTAAATTGATTAAGTATTACTTATATTATTACTTTATACTTTAATATTGACTATAGCAGGCATAAACTTATAAATAATACTCACATACAAATAATAATAGTAATTATTATTATAATGATGTATCGAATAATATAATATATTATATATGTATATCTCCTTGTCAACCAAATTAACAATCGTAAATACGTGCTGGTAACTACGCAGGGACGAAATGACACAACGGGAATATAAGGAATTTTACTTACGCTTAGAAACCTAAAACTGTGTTATTGATAATTTAAACTATTATTGATGCGTAACATAGGTACTTAAACAAATAAATACAGTTATTCTACTATTAATCGGAAAACATAAGCTATTAAGCTATTAAAAAAAAAAAAAAGGTGATAGTTATAATTGTGCATCTTCCAAATATTAAAAAAACATGTAGTTATGTTAAAATAATAATTATACTTATTAGCTAAATTTCGTAAATTAGTGATATATCTATATTTATAATTTAAAAATGTATATAAGGTATAAGGTTCTAATTATTTATAATAAAAATTCAACTAAGAATATGTTTAGGAGCGAACGGGAAAATCGATCGCTCATATCGCCCGTCTCCGGTTCTATAGGATAAGCTTATGACATACGGATAGATGGACATTATGGATAAATAAGTAATAATAAAATTGGGAGATGAAATTTATATTTTTCGTATTGGTGGTATTTATAAAATGATAATTTAAAAATAAAATGTATTAATTACACATACATAATATATTGTTATACTAAGTAAATGAAAAAAAAAAAAAAATGGTCTTTACTACTTATTACATACTAAGGGACTCTAAGTTTATGCTTGTACGACACCCTCTTGGCCGGTTTTTTTAACATTTTATTTAACGCATCACTTCTATAGCTAGATAGAATGATGTTTTATAAAAGTTTTTTTTAACAATATAAAAAGAAAGAAAAAAGAAATCTCGAGGAAACTCAGAAATGAAAAAAGAAAGAATTAATCACATACTAAAAGGAAGCCTCAGGTGCAAAGAGGTCTTTGTAAGTTTTAATCAACACCGGTGAACAGCTGTAACATTCATTACTTAACGCTTGGTGCAAGTCTTTAACCTTTCCGAACGCCTTTAATTGTAGGTCGAAACTGGGACCCCTCCAGCGTTTAAGTAGAACATATTAAAACGCTGGAATGACTCAATAAAATGAAACTTGCGTCGTATACCTTTTGCCCTTTTTTTTATGGTCTCGAGTATAAGATTATAACAATATTCTTCTTAGAGTAAACGAAAAAAGTTTGTATTTGTAATCATTTTTAAAATTGTCAAATTGGGAGAAAATTTATTGTATAATATGATGAAAAATGTAATATAGTTGATTCATCAGAACCCATATAAGAAGCCTTTAATATATTTAAAGGAGGCCAAATGAAACCCTACTATGTTTAATATAATGTTCATAAATAAACGACAATTTTGCTTTTCATGTTGTTTAGTTCGGTGACAACATCTATACGTACGTATATTACTAACATAAACCACTAGGTTAAATTCTGTTTTTATTTGACAATAATATATTGTGAGCAAAAATGTATTATTAAAAATAAAAAGTTGATATTGCTGATGAGTGTACCACTTTTGTAGATGGAAAGTTAGGAAGGTAGAATATAATACGTGCTCGTATATTATGTAAATTTAATTTATATTATCTATAGGTCCCGCAATGATAAATCATATGCTAACAACGATTTCTGCTGACGGATGTATCATTGATGTAGATGACATGGTGGAAAAGTAGGATAAATAAAGTGATTTTATTTTATATCTCTACGTGACGATGATAAATCTTTGCTAATGAAAAACGATTCTGAGAAATTCGGTTAAAAATAATTTTTATTTGATTTTACGTGATTTCTACGATTTGCATTCAAATTTAAATTTAAAATGCTTAGGTAAAAGTATTTTAGAAAAATAACTACATTAAGTTTCTTTTTTTTTTTTACCACAAGTACAACTATTACAATGAACCTCATGCTAAATGTTTATCATTATTTCTGGGCCAAATAAATTTTATCCACATAAAACCAAATAAACACTAAAAAATCTAGTATAACTATAAAGATAGCTTTATATATAGCTCAAAATTCGCCAGGATGTAATAAAAACATTTAGAATTTGGAAATTACAATACGTTTTGGCAAACTAAAATCCATCATGAAAACCCGGAGACGTTTGCTTAGAAATTATCCTTTTTATTATGATTGTGGTATACGTTCACACATTAAATTTACAATATATATATTGGAAATATTAATGAATATTTTTCAGGAATTCGCAAAGAGTGTTGCTTCAGTTTTATGCCTTTGCCGTTCGTGCCGCGTTTTTCCCTTTCGTATTTCTTTTGTTCCCATTTATCAATTACATTTCCTAAAATCTAAAAGCTGTCATTGTATAATACGAGTGTACTGGTAGTTTATACATTTCTAACGTTCATCTCAAAAGCCATTTGCGTAATGCGTGCACTCCAAGTTAGTATAATAATAATCGGTCGTTTGCATGCAACTAGTTTACACATGCATATACACGGTAACGATGAGTAATAAGGGTCATCACCGTAGAGGGTATAGCCCCATCGTTCATACGACTAATCATAGTAATATCCATATTGAACAGGTGGTCCTGTGTCCTTTATTATTATTTCGACTAGCCGGACGGTCATTTTTCCGTGTGACGCCGAGTGCTGCCGTATGTTACGGCCGATAGTTATCTTTTACTCTGTCGGTGTGTTTTATTTTTTTTTATTATTATTATAAGGTTTTTTTTTTTTTTAATATTTATTATGTTTCGAGGATGATCATGCAAAATACTATAAGGGGTAAGAGCCCGGACCCGTACAATCCATTTCGTCGGTACTTAAGCTCTATTAAAGCGTTACTAAATAAACAAAGGTATTGGCTATGCTACGTGAATAAACCGTAAAAAATACTATAATATTATATTAAACAAAGTCCATTTGAGAATAGTATACAACAAAACGTTCATACACTGTATTATAAGATAAAGTCTTCTATCTCTATTTTTTAGATTCGGAGCGTAGCGAGGAATCTATTGATTTTACTATGTGTGTTTTTTTTTTCTGTCTGTGAACAATTTTTCTACCAGAAAACTTGCTCCAAAATATAGACTATAGCGTGTTTTCTGAAAGGTAATTTTCTCTAGCTGGAGCATTAGAAAGGTAATTTTTCGATTTTCTAAAGGGTTTCCGAATTCATCAGGAAAAACCGAAAGAAAACTATAGATAAAACAGCAAATATTTACGGAGCGTTGCAGCGTTACCAATTTCATTATTTTAATTTATGCAACATATGTTTTATACTATAAATAATGGTCCAATCGAAAAACGTCAATAGATAGTTTTTGTTAGTGACTAGTTAGTGTTAACTAACAAGTTAACTAGTTAGTGACCAAGGATGTTGTTTTTTGATTTTATTCGTAGTTTTTTAAATGATTTAAAAAAAAAACAAAAAAAAATGTATACGGGAAAATGTACAAAAATGATTATTTTATTATTTTCAATTTTGTTTTTTTTTTTTATGTAATTTAATTAAGCATATTCACAAAAACTTGAAATTTTGACAGAAAACTTATATTTACATTTTCTAGACGTAGTCAAATTTTCAGAATATTTGAATTATTTTTGAACTAATTATAGACATTTTAATTTTATGAGTTTTGTACGTTATTTTTATTTGATACTCTGTAGATAAAATTGATAGACTAAACAGAAATTCTTGAAAATTTAACAGGAAGTTCCTTAAAATTCGCATTTTCTGGTCAAAATAAAAAAATTGAGCTTAATGCAATATTTTTTTTTTAAAAAAGTTTTAAAATCAAATTTTTAATACGATAATATTAAATTACGATAATTGTAAATATTACGGCTTTTAAAAATATGTATTACCAAACTTCGTTCCGAATCGTTTTTTGTTAGCAATGATTAACCAATGCACATACATATACATTAAATTTCCCTCTTAATCTTACCTTAAAAGGGGTACTGCTCTTGGAAATCGCCAATCGGCGCAATAATTTAATTGAATAATGTTAAATTAGGTATAATTAAAGTTATACTGAAATATAAAATAATTTGATAAGAGATGATACAATCATTAACGCCATAAATTGATCAGTTTTTTTAGGTTTTTTTTTTTTTGTTTATTCTTAACTATTATGAAAACTATAAGAAAATCAAAAAAATACTCGCTTACTCGTACTTACCGACTAGATCCGAAATTTAATAATAAATGTTTGTTGGAGCCAGGTTACTCGTAGAAGAGTTGTACACAGTCAAATAAAATCTCAAAATATAAATAAAAAAATTAGCACACGAGTAAAGCCAATACATTTCTCGTCGTAACTTTAATGATATATATTTTTTTTTATATTAAGTAATTACCAATTTGTTCTCATCATAATTTCTATTGTACGTTTTAAAGTAATTTAGCTTCAACATTTTCAAAATTCAAGATTTATTTTAGATTATTATTTTTGTTTAGTAAGCAATTATTATTATTTTTTATTTTTTGTAAATACGTTGCACAAACATGTATAACGAATCAAACAAATAAGCAGTACATTAGAGCCAAATTTTCCCTGAGTCGACTTGTTGCCTTTACAATACCTATTCATCTTCGACAACAGTTGAATTTATATAATATTCGAATAATACACATTTTAACCAAGTTACTTACTTTATGAGTCTGTTAGAACATTTAAAACCCGGTATGTCATGTAAAAATACGAAATGTGGGCATAAATATGTTTGAGGAGGGGATGCAAAGTTGAAACCACCAAAAGACACATTATGATACTTACACGGTGTATACAAAATTTAATTTCTTTGACTTCATATTATACAAATAAATACAATACAGTGTAATAGGATCTATTTTTAGGAAAAACTAACTAGAATGATATATAGTGAATACAGTGGGAATGATTACTGTTTTAAATACATTAAATTTGATTTAAACAAATTGTTTTCCTAACAATCGATATACTATAATATAATCGATTTATACTAAAGAATTTATTAATTTTTTTTTTTTTAATCGATGTATTTGTAAATAAGAATATTCTAGATGTATAATATTCTTCTATTTAGCATGTAGCAACTTAGTTAAGTTAAACATTATTTATGGTATTTATTTTATTTTATTTTTTCAACTTATGATAAGTTTAAAACTAACGATTTCAATAATATTAACTATAATTAATTTGTATAGATTTAATAATCTACTGGAAGAGAAATATAAAATATTATGTGTGCAATTTTAAATGTCTATATAGGAAATAAACGTCAATATTGTAATAGCTACTAATTTGATACCACTTCTGATAATTTCCTTTTAGTATCATCTTTTATACCCAAATCCAACATTGTTTGGGTGTTTGGCTGTTTAATTATTATAATATATAGGTAGTTTAGAAACTAATAAATATAATATAGATTTGTCTAATATGTTAAAACATATTAGAACCTCGGAATTTATTATAAAGCCTATGAAATAATAATTATAATATATAGAATGAAAATTATTGTTAATTAAAATTAGTATATTTATGAGTACCGGAATACCCTTTTGTAAATGTGTGGACATTTATAAACTATCCGTAAGTGTAGTAAAAAATATATTTACTAATTAAATATATTATGTGTATAAAATATAAAATATTAACATACAATTAAAATGAAATAATATATAAAGTCACCAACATGCTGGGCCACAAAGAACTTTTTTCCAACAAAAATCCTATTTATATATATAATATAAACTATCTTATTACAACAATTTCCACTGTTAGATTCACGTTAGTACTTATACAGTATACACTATACATATTACATATTTATTTAAAATTATAATTCTTTCACGAAAATGTTTATTGTGAATAAATAAATACAAATAGATGGCTGTACTATTTCAATGATTTTAAAAGTCAATCTATAAAGTAAACATAGTAGATACCTAATAAATCAGTTCATTTGAAATAAAATAACTATTTTATTTTTTTAGATAATAATTTATATCCAATAATAGTTAAGGCGTCACATTAGTTTAAATTATAAAAATCGTCTTTCTTATCATTTTAGTCTCCATTTGGACAATATTTAAATTAGTTTAAATGATATTTAGATTTTTGCACTCGATCAGAATAAAATTATCAATTTGTATTGATTTTATAATATATTTCAAATTTACTATAGCTTGCAAGCTACTTATTTATATACTACAGGTACAAGTTTCCTTGGACCGCAGGAGTGTAGGTATAGGACGGAAAGAGGGGTTTGGGTTCGAACGCCCCATTTGAAAATCCCAATTGTAGTAAAATAATAATAATAAGGAAAACATTTTTGTAACAGTTTTAGGTTAGGAATTTTTAATTAAAAATTAAAAAAAAAAACTTATTGCTAAAATATATTGAAGAATGTATATTTAACAAGAATACGTTTGGTATGTAAAACTAACTAAATAGACACCTAATATTATATTTTATTTCATTAATATAAACGGAAAGCGTAAAAATGTATAATCATAAAATCGTAATGCCTCGCCGTAAATTTAAGTTTTAATTTTTTGTGATTTTCCAGTTTTTCTCAATTATTAAAAAAACTACCGAGTACATCATAAAAACGAATTACTTACTCTCCAATTAAATTAAAAATGAAAAATAAACTTGTCTCTTGTCGTTTTTCTAACTTCATTATTGTTTATTTTATTTAAATAATGATTCCCGGACAATCACATTTTTGATAATTTTAATGGTGAATTTGAATTCTATTGTGTGATCATTGTAATTCTGTGTATTAAGCGAACACTTATCATTATTTGCTTACTTCTAATAGTTTTTTTTTTTTCAAATAGTTATTCATAAAACCATAGATATTATTAGATAATTTATTAGACTATTAGATAATATAATCTATGATAATACTGTAAATGATTCTATTAACATGAGTTATGACATGTGGTAACGATTTGTGAATTTAACATGTTTATGGTTTTATTTTCAAGATGATTTTTAAATCAATAACTACCTAGTACCTACTAATAATACCTAATCATCCATTAAATTTGTATTTAGTACTTACCACTGCCACAAGATTCCAAAAACGATCTCACATAAAATAATTCTAAAAACACCATATACGTTTTTTAAAGCTCATATTAAACATATATTTGAAATTTTGAAACGATAAGTAAACCTATTGAAAAACTCGTGGCGTTAGTGAGTAGATCACCGAGATCCCAAAAAGAATCACCTAGCGGTTAACCTGTTTAAATGGTAAAAAACATAATAATCCATACAAATTTAAAATAATGAAATCGTTAACGACGTAAACATTTGCCGTTTTATTTATAATTTGGTTTTAGGTTTTTTCAAATTATTTTAAAAATGAACAGTAATTTTCCCGATATGTTGTCATATTGTAAGATTACGATAAAGTAATTGTGTGAGAAATAAATATGTATCTGAAATTTACATAGAACACTTTCTAGGCTTGGTATAATGGTAAATATTATTCTGGGGCTTTTTAAGTTATTTATAGCTATTTGTTTAAAATGTTTTTTTTTTTTTTTTGTATCATACGGATATCATTTTTTCAATACTTGTTAAATGCTCAATAGTTTTATATTATAATGTTTTCTCTAAGTTGTTCTTACATTAATAAGAAAATATAGAAAAAGATTTTTTTTTATAATTGTTTGAAGTTCTGATTTGTATAAATTGTAAAAATCAACCTAAATTTTGCATAGACTTTTCGATAAGTGTGAATTTTTATTCAACACCATGAAAATATTCAACAATTTGATACAAAGTTTACCATAAGTTGTACTTTGTAATTACTGATTAAACAAAAATTTCAACATAATCTCGTAATTTATGAGTAGTATAATGTTTAGACTTTTAGTTCAAATGCATGATAAAACTCGTTAGAAACACGAACAATAATATTGTATTAATAATTAATTTGTTTTGCAGTTAAAAATTGATTAAATTTAAATTAATTTACAAATGTTTGACCGAACTCCGCTAAAAATTACTTCACGTTTACAGTTATTCATCGTACAGTAAAATATGTACAATTAAATTCCCGTACATATACTACGTCCCCAAATTCAAACAATGAAATACCAATGTTTTTTTATTTTACTTTTATTTTAAGTACGTATATTTTGTTGTTACCTATTATTATGATGCTAACATATTATAACAAAAACGGCCATAATAATGTCTAACGAAAATTAATATGTGGCTTCGCATTAATGTTTTAAATCATAGACGTATCTGAGTACATCGTATTTATATATATGTATAAAATATAATATAATAAAATATGTTGCCTCAATGAAACGATAAATTGTCTAAGTTCAATTCTAATTCAATCAACAATCAATTATAATTTTAAAATTCAAAATTAATGCATAATTTATATGTTTAACACATAACGATAAATGTATTTCTTTTTCTTTTTTTTCATTGAGGTGGTCACTTATTATTCGCCTCAGTTATCAAACAATTATTATCAATATATTTTTAATAATATTCGGACTAGGTCTCTGTATTGCCCATTAACATAAAATAGAAATCTTTGAATAACCACGGATTGCAGTTCTCAACGAACTAACTGTATTCAGGTTTGGAGTAAAAACCCGCTGTTTTTGAAGTATTTGCTCTTAAAAAGACCGAGTCCGTTAATTTTTAAATACTTCATAAAAACCAGTAGATTATATCCAACAGCGAATTTCCTCCAGGAAATTTATTTTAAAATAATTACGGATTTAATAACACCTACTTATAAAAACACAATCAATTATAATTTATAATACCTATACAAATATTAGGATGTAAAAGCAAGTATAAAATAAATACGTATGTTCAAAAAAAATTATTAATGCAGTTGGCATTATAGCTGTATATTATTAATAAATATAATATGTACGTATCTAACAAAAGAAATAAACAATTGAATTCCTAAAAGATATACTATTAGATACATTCTGACATTTGACTTCAGGAGTTAAGTACTCATAAATCAACTAATTCATAGGAATATTTGAAACTGTCATTATCAGATTTTAATCAGATTTTCAAAAAATAATTGGAAAAAACCTTGCTTATGGCTTATACGCTATAATAATAGTGACCGATGGAAAAGACGGATTCTAACTTTAACAGACCTAATCCCGCCGGCGATTCTATACAAAAGCTAATTTTATAAAGGACTCAATTATTCAAAGACCAAATTTATCAAAAATTCGGCTCGTGTATTTCCGGTTCACGTACAATTGAATTTTGCATTTGTTAAGCATACTTAATTAGTTCATTAACCATCAATTTATTGATTATACATTTTGGTCGCATGGGCATAACTATTTTGTGATGTTACAATGTCACTTGACAAATTTTGTCTTCAAAATAACCTGAGTCTATGTTACCACATGATGAGAAATGGGAAAAATTCAGAGATAATCACATAATATACATAGGTATTCATATAATAATAATTATCATTATTATAGTATAATAACTTTTATAGGATAATTATTTTTGATCATGTGCCAGAGATTTTAAGTAAATTTGATTTGGGTTTTAATATGTTGTAGAATCATTTAAACGATCGTATTTACAATATAATTAAAATTGTATGCATATTCATAAAGATAACATATTATAATATAGAATACATTAAATAAACTATGTATTGATTTTTAAATAGTAAAACCTATTTGAATAGGAGTGCGTAAACTAAATTTTCAGGTGTGGATTTTATTTATTTATTTTTACCACCTACCCACTCAAAAATATAAAAAATAATAAAATAGCCATATAAAACATAGTAAATAGAAATAAAATGTAATATTAAAACTGATACCCAGTACAAACATCACATGAAATATTATAATTATTAAAAGTATTAATCTTTGTTCTCCTGCTATCAAAATATTGAACTCTTCAATTACTTCATCATGATTGAATTAGTTACCTCAAAGATCTTCAATAAACATATATCTATAATATTAATGAATCTAACCGTTCCTGATTCCTCGTAAACCGTAACTTTATCTTCACTAAATTGAATTTTGGAAAGGAATATTCACAAAACTAGCTTGTTATAGGCATAGTTAAAAATAATTTAGGAATAATTGAAAATTGATTAAAAATAGTTAAATGATTGCCATTATATTATAACGGTTATACATAACCTGTAATGTACCCAGTTATGAATTATTTTAGTTGATGTTTCTTTCATAGTTAATAATTCTAGTCTAAAATAGTCAAAAATTTTTAATTTTCCAAATAAATTTGTTCCGGCTCTTTTATTCTAAGTACCTAGTACCTACCTAAAAAAAAGTCTCGGGTGTGGCTAATAGGGCTATAGCCACACCCGTGCGCAGGCCTTTGCCTATAGGTATATATACAATATACTTTTAAGTTTCGTTTCGAATATAGAATAGAGACCCTTCTAAAAATTATGATATGCATAACTATAATAACCTGTCTATAGGATAGGTATTAGGTAGGAATTAACTTAGTGAATTAAATACGTTTGCATTTTTAACTTGAACATTTTACGAGAGTATTAGAATTTATTTAGAATTATCTATACTATTTTCTGTTTAATTTCCTAAATAAAAAACATTTTACTACTTAAGTAACATATAAGAAGGGGACTAGTGCAAATCACATTATAATCCGAAAATGGGAACAATAAAGTTTTGTATTATACGAATATTTTCGATACAGTTTATGCTCAGGTTAACACAACTCATTGACTAACTATATTTGATCTACACAGGTATCAATACACACATTATATTTTTAAAAAAGTTACTTTTCTTATCCGTAAATGAACCCCATGTTAAATTTGTAAACATTTCTGATCGGTCAAAACTATTTTATCTATATAAAACCAAATAAAAACGAATAAAACTCAAAAATAGAAATGCCTATAAATAAATAAAAATACCGTCTAGAAAAGATCATTGTTATTATTCTTTTAAATGTCAGGTCTTTACGATTATTTTTAACTGAATTATAACAAACCGTTATTATTGCTGTAAACTTTTCTATTTCTCCTACATTTTTTCCGGTTTATCCTAATTAGTAAAAAAATTATAAGAAAAATTAAAAAACGAATTTCTTATTCACCAACTCAATCAAATTGTCTTTCAAATAAAAGGCTATCCTTTAAATTCGGAACAAAATTTCTGGTAGAAATTCAAAATCGAAAATAATGAAAATTGTACTACCGTAAATTTTCCGTTTTTTTATTTATAATTCCTTCCGATTTTTCACAATTATCATAAAAACCACTAGGACACTAGGATAATCAAAACATGATCTCTTAACGCACCAACTAGAGCCAAAATACTACAAAATACTATCATATAATTTTTGCAATTTGAGTAAGATTTCCGGTAGAAATTTTATTTACAGGTAGAACAAATACATTCCTCGCTCCACTTAGAATCTTAAACGTTAATAAGAATAAGACATCCTTTATTGGTATAATAAATATACCCAGTTATTTTCTACAGATAATGAAATTTAATTCAACTTTTCCGAATAAAACATTCCATACATTATTCTCAAAATTAAATCCGGGATGCGCTGGTAAATATGTAAATAAGCGCATTAATAATTTTCAAAATTAAACATTTATAAAAAAATAAAATGGGTACGTTTTATAAGTAGATAGGTAGTATAGGTACTAGGTAGGTTTTCGAAACACAAGTTTATATATTGTCTGCTACATAAATGCCGATTTCATTTTGTTTAACCAATCTAGAAAAGGCTAATATAAGTATTTTGTGCAAATTTCAAGCTTCTATAATCATTTTCACTAGTTCTTATAAAAAAATCGAAAATAATGAAACTGTTAATGTTGTAAACTTTCCCAGTTTTCTTAAATTTCTTCCCCACTTCTTTTCTCACTTATTCAGAAAACTACACAGAAAAAAAAAAATTAAATAATGACAATCTTAAATCACCAACTAGACAACTGGACTTTTTCAAAAAATGTGTTACTCTTGAAATTTGAAGTAAAACTGCTGGTAAATTACACAACTTGAAAAAAAATTAAATAATGAAATCGTTTACGTATTTATAATAATCCTTTTTTCATTTACGTTTTTCATCAACAATATAACAAAATTCATCCAAAAAGGTCTCTTTTAATTTTTTGATTGGAACAAGATTTCTGATAGAGAATTGTACATACAGAACAAAATTAAATAGAAAAATCGCATACAACATAGTAAAACCAATAAATTTCTCGCTACTCTCAAGATCTAAAATAAATACTTTCAGGATTTAATATACACTAAAATAAAAATAAAACTGTGTGTCCGGCATTATTATCATTTTTAATATAATTCGCCGGTGGTATTTTTCACCACGCTCATAGGAATATCTTACGTAGAACTTTCTTCCAATCAGTAATATAATATCTAAGTTAAAACACATGAAAATATTTGATTTTACAGTTTTACTAAATTTAATTAATATTTTTTTGAACTCAAATGGTTTTTTTTAAATTTCTGAAATTTTGAACTAGATATATTTCTCCGATATTTCAAACATAATATATTCCCATAATATTTAAGTAATAATTACAAGGGTCCTATAAAATTTGCGCCGGCACTTGCCTCTCACACTTTCACGCACCGTTACCAACATCAGCGTCTCCACACTGATTTTTCAATTCGTGCACTTCACGGTTTCATAGACATATCGGATACATTATCGGAATATTATCGGACGCGAGTGGCAGGTGCAACAACTTGGCTTACCTTCCAATGCCTTGTTCCTAGCTAACAACGTTAACAGAACATCCGGATTGTGGGCGGCGGCCTGTAGTTCAGCGGCCGGCCGGTGGTGCAGATGGTGACTGTGGTGACCGTGCGGGTGCTGGTGTGGCAGCAGAGACGATTGCGGTGCTCCTCCGGACGGCGGCTGTTGCAGCACCGTGGACATGCCGCTCGTAATGTACGCTATCCCACCGGTTAGTGGACCACCGGCAGTAGTTGTTTTGATGGCGGCGGCAGCGGCAGTGGTATGGGCGGTGGTAGCGCACAAACGGTTGCTTTAGCGGTGGCCGTCATCAATAGCGGCGCAGTGGGATCCGATCCGCACCGGCGTCCGTACGAAATGGTCACGGCGATCGGCGTGCGTGGTACCCACAGGCGGCTGCAGCCACAGAGCGGTGCGGCGTCTTCTGAGCGCGTGCGAGCCGAGGCGGCGGCGGCGGTGTGCCGTATTACCAATGCGGACACGCGCGTGACGGTGCGATACCAGAAAATACGTTGTATTCGCACCGTTACAGACCGTATCGCGAGCTTTTACCATCGGGTGGCGCGGATGCCAAACTTTCAGCGGCGGCGGCGCGGTTTTCCGGTGTTAGCAGCGGCGGCGATTTGGTCTCTGTGTTGTACTATTGTGGCGACGACGACGGGAAGCGTGGAAAACCGTTGGGTTGTCGTCGAAGGGTGAAGGGGACCGGTACGCGGTGACGCGGATGAGTGGTGGTTGGTCGGTGAGAGGGGTGTGGGAGGGTGCGGCGCTACGCAATGTATACACACACGTGTGCGCGCGCGCGCTCCCGTCATCTTCCACCGGCCTTGCGCTTTTCCGCCACCGCGACCCGAGGGGTTTAATTTCGCTAAGTGTCAGCGCGTCCCGACCACGCCACCGTCGCTGACATCCACTCACCCGCCCGCCCGCCGACCAACGCGGAATTACCGCCATTGCTCGTTCGGTCGACGTTGCGGCGCGTGCGTGGTAAAAATCCGACGGCGGTTTTCGCTGCGTTTTCTTTTGCCTCTCTACGTTTTTTTTTTTCTGCACCCCTTTACGGCGTCTACACACTGCGCATCCTCCGTCGCCGGAGGGCAAACCGGAAAAAAAGAAAAACTGTACAAAGAAAAAAAAAATGAAAAACACACACCCGCTCGCGAGCGCGCACGCGCGCGCGTGTTGTGTAGGTACACGTAATAATGCTTTTTCCCCTTTTCTCCTTCTAGTCATGCCCCAAAAGCCAAACGTACCCGATCCGGAGGGAGTCGAGCATAGAATAAAAGTCGTCATTGTTGGTAAAAAGAAAATATAAAAAAAAAGAAAAAGGAGACTCGCCGAATAAATAATAAAATCGATGTATAGATAACAAAAAAGGCGAGTGTGAGATAGAAAAAAAAAATTGAATAACCCAAACAAATGACGTAAAACCGTTGGGTTGTACGCACTATGAGAGAATATATTAAGCCAAAAACCGCTGCCTACAGGACCTACGTATGTAAAAATGTATACATTGGTTTCGCGTACTTTTTGTTGTCATTATGCCAATAGTATGTTCTCCCTTCGACGATGTGGTTGAAACATATTTCAACACAAATCATTTTTTTACGATTCAATAGTTAAAAAACTAAAAACCGTTGATAATGAAAACGATTTTGAGTGAATTTTGGTTAAACATCATGTTTTGAAATTCAGTGATTCCATAAAAAATCCTGTGTATAATTATTTTGTATTACATATTGGGAGGGTAAATAGGAATTGATAGAGGTAGACGCCATGCACGTTTTCCACTTGATATTTGGAACCTTTATAATAGAGTTTTGAGTTGCCAAAATAGGAATAATAACCATGCAGAAGCTGCGAATAGACGACGACTTAATATTGAAACGGATTGACCTTTATTACTATATTGTATGCAAATTATGAATAAAAAGTAATATAATACAAATGTATAATTTTTTTAGATTTATAATTTTATTATTTGAAAATATTTAATGGCCACGTCGATACGGCCGCGGCTGAATGCTTTTCCGACTTAATGTTCACATTGAAACGGGCACGGCGAATATTGTTCTAAATCCATTCAAAATTGACTACAAAGTTGGCATGATACGTGTTATAATAATTGATTAACAAAGTATAATTATATAGTATATGTTTAATACATTTTGTAAAATCGTTAACAGGATTAAAATTTAATTGGATATACAACTATATAGGTATTAGTTACTAAACGTTGTTAAATATACGTCATACCAGTGATTCTCAACCAGGGGGGGGGGAAATTCTCCAAAATGTTTAGATTAATAATAGGATCCTACATAATAATTTAAAATACCCAATTATATAACCAAATGTGAAATGTACGTCTAATGTCCACCCAACCCTCCCTCCCTTCTCACATAACTCATTCTATAAATTGTCTTTATAAAAATTTATTTTACTGTTATATATAATATGCCATATTACATAAACTTATGTCCAAGCACAACATTTATATCTGAGATTTGTTTTTGTAACTTTCACAGCCCAGGTGCATCCCCCTCCACAAAAGATATTAATTGTTTGGCGTGCTCGACCAGCTATGTATAATAGTATGCGATTACTGCAAATTTTGTATGCCAATTAAAATAATTGGAATTATATTAATTATGTTTCCTGCTCGCTAATAATAGGTATTTATGCAACGTTAAGATAAATAAATAGCCAGGCAACGCTGGGTAAAAATATCTAGTAGGTAATACTTGTGTACTTATACAAGTGTAAAAGGTATATTACGAATAAATGGAAATCATGGACGATTATATGGTAAAAATGAATTCACTCAAAAATAATTGACTTATTATTTATCAAATAGAAATAATCACACTATTTAATGATAATAATAATAATAAAACAATATAAATCGAAGTATTGAAGTATCCTGGTTTTCACCAACTGGAGTTAAAATCGGGATCTTATTTGAAGCCTAAATAATCATTTAGTGAAAACTGCATTCCAAAATTGAAAAGAATAAGAGTGCATATATGAACATATGGACGGACAGACAGACACAGAAAAATCCATAAAGTGGCTTACGCTACTTAATAATATTAATGTTGTATACGGATTGTATTAAAAATGATGGGTGTTATCCTTCATCATATTTTGTGGGGGATTGCTTAAATTTCTAATTAGTATTGATTGTTAATAATATTATAGTAAGTATAGGTACTAAAGACTCTATATGTTATAAAATTTAATGTGGGTACTGAGCACGAATAATCCCGAATATTTTTGACACTGGGTAAGGGTATAATAGCTGTATAAAGTAAGTAATTCGATTAAAATAAATATTCTCAGCACCTCGTCGACTGCCTCTAAATAAATTATAACTTTCACTGAGTGCATGAACTTCCATTTTTAAAACACCATTACCTTGCTGTATCTTTGTGGTTTCAGCCGGAGTGCGACGATTAAAGGAAATGGCACTTAACAGTAGGGTCCTTTACAGGCGATGCTAAGAAAAAGGCATTTAATTTCCCATTTAATGGTTAACAGTAAAACTTAACGATATTTTAGTAAAATCTTTTACGTTTTAAGTTTGTAAATTACAGATACATATTTTATAAATATATATTGTAAATAATTGCAAGTTAATACAATATACATATTATACAGAATGATTATATTATCGTTGAATACATATTATTTCTTTAAGTATAGACCTTAAACAAATTATATATATATTTTGACAATTTGAGAAGCAAGCAAATCTAAAATGTTACATCATTATTATTTTCTGTCACCCTTATTTTTGGAGGTGCAACGACTACCAACTTTTTATTATCAAACGGTAACCTATATTAAAAGTTTCATTCAAAGTGTTATAGTTTAATTACATTTTGGTGTTAACATTTTTGATTTCCGTCAACCCGTTCACAAGATATTCCACTTTTAAGTTTAAGTAGGGTAAAATTATTTCATAGATAAACTGTGGATACAAAATGTTGAGCTAAACAGGAATACTAGAAAATTTGACAAGAGGTTCGTACTATTTGAAAAATAATAATAATTATAATCAGGATACCTTGAGTATAAGTACACGGATTTCAAAAACGTTCGTACACAAAAATATTAAATATACGGACCGATTTTTGAAATAAATGTAATACAAATAATAAATTATGATGCAGATTGACCTTTTCCAGTGTTTTTCTAGATCCCTCGAAAAAGAAAATCGTTTCATTCCTCGTTTCTTAAAAAAAATGCATTCCTTTGTCGTCCCTTTGAAAAATAAACGAATTTAATTCTCGTACTAAATTGAAAAAGTCATAGATTGATAATATTAAAAAAAAAATTAACACTGTTCTAGGTGGAAAGTTTATTTTTAGTTTATATATTTAAAGTAACAATTAATCATGACAGTCAAAAACGATTCTGAGTGTAGATCAGTAAACTAATAATCATTACGGATCTAATAGGTAATATATTATATTCGATACGATTATTTGGTCATATTTTATTATAAGATGGACAATTTCCATTATCAGAACAATTTTGATTTATAATTTGTTATGTTTTTTTTTTTTACATAAAATGAACAAGTCAAAGGAATGAAAATCTTCATTCTTTTTCCTGGATTAAAGGATTTCTTTTTTTTTCTCGTTCCTTTGTTGTAAAAAGTAATTTATTTACGTGTCTTAAAAAAGGAATCGTTTCTGGGGTTGATATACGATTGCGAATGGCTGCACGATTGCGAACATTTTTCCACAACATGATTCCGAACGTTTTTACCTGCCTTTTTCCGTGCGGCGTTGCCAGATTTAGTGTTCGTCAATTATATTTGTGTAATAAATGGATTTAATATTATTTGTCTAAATTTTGTATTTCCATGTGGATAATCAAATCATATAAGGTTAAAAACAATGGTTTTCTGCTATTATGCCGGATGATAAGACACAATGTAGTATAAGTACTAATACATGTTTAATTAAAATATTTGTCCTAAATTTATATTAATTTAATAGAGAACTAGCTCGATTCGTATAGTCAGTATTATTCGCGATTCGTTAGTGTCATACAGTACCAAGAAAACCATTTTAATTAATCATCATTTTAAACACTATAATTTTGTATCATATAATTTTAATTTATAACGTAGGTAGTTATGATATTTATATAATTAAATCCCTGAATAGAACAAAACATATTAAGACAAATATACACTATCTAAACTTGGAAATTTAGCCTAAAAAACGTACGCAATCGTTCATTTTTCGGCTAAACAAAAAAATTCTT